GTTTCTAATCTTATTGCAGAATATGGCATATTCTATTTATTTCACTTCTTTCCCAAGGTGAAAGTAACACTACTGAAACTGATGTTCCCAACCAATGTATCTCCAGGATAACTTGATGAGACAAGCTCTATAAAGAAAGAAAATTCAGTCTGTCCCAGCTTTCTCTGATGAGGTTACCAGCATCCCCCTCAATTCAGGACAAGCATGACAGTAATGTCACTTACCAAAGGAAAGAAAATAGGTTACATCCATCAGCCTACTCTGTAAAGATTGTAGAACAGACGCTTCCAGGCTGTGATAACTTCATTAGCCTTGACTACAGCAGCATAAACATTAGATTACAGTATTCTCAGTTACAGGACTCTCTTGTTTAAATTGTAGAGTTCTTACTAAAACACAGCAAAACAGTTAGTGACAAGTCATTGACACAAAGCCTTCCCACATCTGCTAAAGAAATAACATTCTGCTCCAGTCTTCCCATAGTATGGTTTGTATTGACTGACAACTGGAAAAGACAATACAGATCCTCTCTTGGTACACATTCTAGTTGAAAAACTGAGAAAAAAAATCTTTCCTGTTTACCATGTGGATGTCTGCCATGGCATTTCCCATGGCATCAGTGTTCCTGCGGAGGAGGAACTTTATTAGCATCAGAAGCATTTTGTCACACTAAGGTTAGATACCAAACAGAAGTGGAAGCTTGAGCAAAATTCTGCAAACTCTGTTTTGTTTTACTGCCACTGTAAGCTAGCAGCAAAAAGAGTAAGGTACATAAATGGCTACATCTGTGATGTAGGCTATGCAGGATCAACTAAATTAATGAAATTGGTGAAAGGTCTTGCAAATGAAAAACCCTCTTGTTTTCACTCTGTAGTCTTTTCTTGTTTCTTCCTACACAGCTCCATAATACAGCTTCAGCTTCAGAAGAAAATCAGCAGTATCCCCAAACACATTCATTTCATCTATGCCAACTCTGCATTGAGATACTGTCCAAAGCACTTCAGAAAGCTCTTCTGCTTCTATGAGGCATAGGGTGATTCTGTACGAGGCCTTTATGCAATTCAGGGCAAAACTTACTGTGCAGGAAGACTGGGGAGCTGAGACTTCAAAGCAGCCTCTATAGTTGTGGGTGAGAGAAGCTTTCCCTATATGCAGAGCCTGTCTTTCATTTTAGTTTTATCCACACCTTACACTGATGTGCCACACCATTTACTCCATTCCAGGCTTTTCAGGTATGTAATACTGCATGTAAATTATTGCTCTCAAGGCAGAAAGAAACTAAAGTCTCCTTTCCACAACTCCAGCCCATTAACTCAGTATTTGGTACACACCTTGTTCTCTGTGCTTTACATAAACCTTGGAAACAGCCCTGCAGAACAGCTTTACGCTAATTCAGACCACAGAAGTAGAGGGGGCAGAAGAGGCCTTAGAGATGGCAGTCTGTTTTATTCATGCAGCCCTCAAAGATGAAAGAAAATAAGAAGTTACTCCGCCAGGAAAGCAAAATCACAGGACAAAAGATCAGGAAGGAAAAAGGCAGAAAATAAGGAACCTCCCAAACTTACCAGCAAATTCTATTTAATGATTTCAAGGAATTGATTTAGAAGCTTTCAGAGCAACTACACAAGTCTCTCACAGGATGTTAAGTGTTCTTGTGTGAAGCTTTCTTTAAAGTCTGCAGTACAGAACATCTTGCTTTTCTGAGACTGGTGGTCTTGGGGTTCACACACCTTGTGGTGAAGGACAGAAAAAGTCTTCAACTAATGCCTCACCAGCTAGAATGGCAACCACCTCTAAACACTAGGTCAGCACCCTCTGATTGCTGGCATTGTAAATGTTTAGAACAAACTCAGTGAAAACTGTTGTCCTTACACATTCAGGAAGCAAAGCTATATTAGCAGACATCCTGGATTAGCTCTGAGTCTGAGTCCCAGACCATGTAGAAGTTCTTTAGGTTCGCTTGATGGACCAGGCACTTAGTTCACTAATGCTTCTGGTATATCACCAGTAAAAGCTAGCTGATGGCAATGTTCTGCTGGGGACAGAAGGAGGGATTTCAGGGAACATTTTTCTGTAATATTCAGGAAAGACTCACAAAAGACAACTTCAAAAAAAGAATATATTATGAGGTTTTGTGTGTTATTTTACATGCATTCCAGCAACAAACAACATGAAAAAAATTTATTTACTCCTTAGAAACTTTAGTTCTACTGTGCTTGTGATTCTAGAGTACCTAGAACATTTACTAGTGCTGTGGCTAATTAAGAAACTTTGTAAGGAAGGAAGTCAATATATTGCACATGAAGCTCTGCATGAGGCTATAGCATATTTTTATATATTTGGTAACTAATCATGAAAACCAGGGAGAACAGCACAGGAGATAAACCCAGTTCCCTGGACAGAAATTGAGTCCAAAATGGGATGTTGTCTGACAGCTGGAGCTCATTCATATAATTTAGGGAATCAGGAGAATTAACCATACTATGCCCAGCAGCCCTGGAACAGTACCCTGCAAAATGGCTACAAAACAGGAACTACAGATATGGTACCCAAAACCATTTGCCATTGGCCCTCACACAGAAGTCAGATTTAAAATATAATCTGATACTGTGTTTAATTAAAGGGGTTTGAAATTTTTTAAATTATATGGCACTGTTGCAGCTCAAAAGTTGTTAAATATGAAACTACACATACCATCTTGAAAGGTTGCATTGTAATTTCTTAAGCCTCCCCTCACATCTGAAGAAGATGGAGAAGGAGGTACTCTTCAGCAGCATATCTGAGGGCATCACAGTTCTGTGATATTTGTCCTCACCCAAGAGGAAAATGAACACCATCATACATATTATAAGGTGACCACCTATTTTGAATTCTGGACTGTACCTGTATGTAACAAGGTAAGTTTCCAAACATGCATACCAAAAAAAAAAAAAAAGGCTTAAATAAGGTAACAAAGACCAAACAAAACCATCCTATCCAGCATTGGGCAACTTGCATGAGGTCATAACAGAAATCTGTCACGGAACAATCTAGTTCCCTCAAGTACATAAGCAGCATCTTAACAAATGTCCATTGTCTTTTCAAATGTACTGGAAATATTCTTCTCTGCAAGCTTCAGTACATTTTCATGTTAAGAGGAAAGGCACATGTCACTGACCTTTTTCCCAGGCTAGTCACATGAGAAACTACATTTTTTTCAGCAAGGTGGGATTATTTGTCACAAGATGTAAAATATGCCCAATATTCAATACTTATTTTCTCTCCACAAGTCAGCAGCAGAAAACAACTTGGACTAGTTGGAAATGAACAGTTATCATACCATTTTTCTTTACAATCAACTTGTCCATCAGCACCAATTCCAAACTACCCATATTCACCACTGCACCACAGTCACCACTGCTATTAACATTGACAGTAAAATTTCCAAAGGCTTCTGACAGATATTGAGTCTCTTAGGTGCTTCCAAAAGGTTTTTGTTTTGTTTTTTCTTCTGTATTTTAAAAACCCTATTTTTTTCATTTCAATAAGCTTATTAAATAGTATTTATTAACAACTTATGTTGCTTCCATAAGCAGCATAAATACAGCTCAAGCAACAGATATAGATCTACAAACACCGTATTCTCACTTATATGCACAGTTTTTACATTGCTATAAAAACGAAAAATAATTAATGCCAGCTGAATGTTAACGGACAATGTGGTAAAAATCATTTAGCCCTTCCAGCAAAGTTACAAACCAAAAACCCATGAAAGGAAAACTTTACCTGGTATAATTCACTCTTCTCAAAATTTCTGAGTCTCAGGTTTCACCTTTCTTTTAGAAGGCTTTTATATAGCAGGTCTTATGCACATACCAACTACCTTCTGAAGCATTACTCTGTAACTCATTCTTGACCCAGAGGTCATCATCTTCATAAGCAACAACCACAACACAAGTACCTCTTCCTAGATAACAAATGAAACACATTGAAAAAACTTTTCTCTCTAATCTGAGAAAAGGGGATTCCAGTCTGAGGGAGGGGAATTTCTCCTTAGTAACTGTCTTCAGCAAAATAAGTACAACAAAATAATCTCCAACACTTGTTGAGCAGGTAAAATCCATTGAAGTCTCTGTCCCTTATAGTTGACTCAAATGAGCACAGGATCTTATACAGCACTTGGATACTTTCAAATAAGCTTAACTCAAAGTTTCTCAAAACCAACAGAAATACTCCTTTCCTCCCCAAATTTCAATGAGCTTCAGTTAAGGTGCTTTTACATTTATATTTTCCAATATCTGCAAGGGAATATATTCAGAGGTTGATTTCTGTAAGTCTCCAATGATGTTTTTCAATAACAAAGAGCTAAAAATTTTAAGGTAAGTATACCAACTGGGTGGTGACCATCAATGGCAAAGCACCATGCTGTGATAAAAGAGCTAAGTCTGCATGACATGCAGAAAAATATGAAAAGGCATGCGATCGACTGCCATCAATTTGAAAAGCTTGACCAGAAAGTCATCAATTGACTTCAGCCTACAGTTCCTTGCCAACACTACAGAAACAGGTGGAAAGGACCAAATTAATAATATTCACAGAAACATTCCTCTTCTATTGCCTATCTCTCAAAGTAATTTGGAAAGCTTTGACTTAAATGAATAAACCCTGAAAAGTGTATTAAATGTCACTGCAGTTTCTGCTTCATCACAAAAGCAGCATGTCCCTTGCAGGAAACAGAGCTTTCTATAAGGGCTGGTCACAACAGCACTAACCCAGGTATATTCTGCAAAACTTGTTTTTGACAACTATGCAGTAGTTAAACTGAAACAGTTGCCCTGGAAACCTGTTTCTGGCCAAGTCATCCTAGCAATGCCTGGTTCCTTCAGTGAGGAGGGAAAGCAGAAGCATCTGGAGGCCATGCTGAGAACTAGAGACAAAGCTCAGGTTGAACTCTATCCCAGGCTCAACAGCTTCCTCTGAGAATGGAAAGGTCATGCAGAGTCATAAAGACACAAGGCCACTTTGAGGTCTATAAAAGGCGAAAACCCTGTTTACTGAGCATGAGCAGTGCAAGAGATCTTTGAAGCAAAGCAATGTATTAGATAGATAAATAGGATTTTTTTCACCTGTTTTATAAATAACTGCCAATGTGTTGTTCAGAATTTTGCTTTACAGTTCCCTGAACCTAGTCTATATTTTCAGGGTATTGGCAGCTGTCAAAGCCCTTTATCATTTTGTACTAGCAAACCTTAAAAATTTGGGTGAGGGACTATTTTTTGACAGTTCAGCATCTCAGTATCTCCATAATTCCCAAGGCATAACAAACAATTCTGCATTAGCTGCACTGCTGTTTGACAGTGGCAAAGCAATGATCTGTGTGGAAGTCTGTCAACAGCAAGGTAAGTGCTGTGGCAGCAGGAGGGCAAATGGGAAAGTGGATCCCTTTGCAGTTCGTGCTAATTTGAACTTGAAATAGGTGATAAAATATGTTTTATTCCTTTTAAAATAGAATGAACTTATATTGGGAAAAAACATCATAAGCAGTAAACTGCAATTACAGGGAAAAACAGACACTGCCCTTTTTAAAGGACTCCGTTATGTTTTGAATCCCTTCCTTCTATGGTTTACTTGTGGTATAAACACATAAATATATGCACACACACTTCCCATCCCTCACTTCCATTCCCAATAATAGCAAAAATAAACATGAAAAATAATATTAAAAAACTCTGTATTCAGTAATATTCACACCAAAGTATATGTATAGATATATCCATTAAAATTATGAACATTTCTAAATATATTTTATGTATCATACATATATTTATATGTATAATTACATATCCACAGAAGTAGTCTTGCTGTGCTAAAGCCAGCAGTAAAAGCAAAAACAGGTTTCACAATAGGACACCCATATATGCATATGTACTGGCTGGTTTGTGAATTTATTTACAACTTAACTATCATAATAAATGCTTACTGTTCTATTGTACAAACGTAATAGTAAAGGTTTAGGTTTGTTTTTTAAATACAAAGACTGCAAATGAATACATGAAAAAAATTACACACCATGTACAGTATTTATAATTTATAAATGCAAAGTTAAGACCTGTTTAAATTATTGCACTTGCATATTTTTGTTTTTTTTTACAAAGATAGTTTATATGTATCATATATATATATATGTGTGTAAATATATATATATATAAAACAAATTTTTCAGCTCACTAAATGTAGTAAAGTTGAATGTTGTTACCTTGAAGTTCTTTCTTCTTCACATAACAGCCCAACCTGAATTTTGAATATATATGTATCTACTCTACAAATCAGTTTGATCAACCCTAGAAAGCAGTCTGTTATTTTAGGTTTTTTGACAGAGTATACACCCGTATTACAATCGAGCACAGTTTTTGGTCAGAAAGCAAAACAAGAGTTATGATGTGCCTTTGCTAGATTGGGATATATAACCTAAAGTTTGAACACGAACTTCCTTGTAGTAGTGTGCAGAAAGCCTTTTCTGTGTTTAGAATGAACAAGTTAATTGTTCCATTTCACAGAACCGTTCCTATATCACAGTGTTTGAAGCAAATGCATTATTTCAAGAGGGTCATAATTGTTTTGAGCATCTAACAATCTCTATTTTTTAACACGTATAGTGCTATTTGCTATCCCTACAAATTAACACTAAATGCTCTAAATGCAATCACAGCAAACTGATCACACTGTTCTAAGTTTAAACACATGAAAGAAGTCTGTGCCACATAAAAAGATGAGTGCCACACTGCATGTCCCCTCCAGTGTAAATATGTTTTATCATATACTCCAAGTACAAAAACTTATAGAATTTCTCTTAATGGTCACTTTAAAAAAAAAAAAAAATACTGCCATGAGTTGAACCATTACAGGAGAATGTTGCACTACTGTACAAAATTCACAGGTTAATTATAACAATGGAGTTTCTGTCAGTGCTGTAATAAAATGCAGCATCTCAAATGAGTATCATGCTATGTCAACTATTTTTCTCAGTGCATACCTTTCAGGCACCATTTCATAATACATTAAAAATGCTCAGATATGGCTTCAAACAGTCCTTTTACCTTTAGTGGTCTTAGAAGGGAAAAGCAATTGGAATTATTAACAAAAATAATGCAGGTCTGGGAGTTTAAAGTCTAACGCTTCCAGAAATGGAGAGAACTGTTAGTGGTGTTATACATTATTACTGATCTTTGACAAGATCAGTTTTAGCAGGAAAAAAATGCAAGGAAGAATGTCTTTTGGCAGTTTAACTTAATGAGCCAGATGTCTTACAGCTCTAGATGTCTTACTCTATTTGTGAGTCCAAGTCCAGAATTTGGAACAATTAAATCTCAACATGTACTTGAGTCAGGAACTTCAAATGCAGCTTCAAAGTTTTAATTTTTGGTGACTTTGACTTTGGAAGCGTGGGTAGAAGTTTGTTTTTACAAAAAATGTACACATCTGAATTTTTATCCCGTAAATACTGAGACAGACAAAATTTACTTAGAAAATACAGCCCATTGTGGCTATTTTTGTTGGTCCAAGTCCTAACAAAGAGTAACATTTTGTCATGACATTTCTCCTTTTACACACCAGGAAAACAAGGCAAACCACGACCACTAGAGCCAAAATTTTTAATTCTAATCAATATTATACTATAGCAAACATATTTTATGTGGTTTGGATAGTTCTATATTTGAAACAATAGCTTATGGACCGGAGATATTGCTAGAACAACTTACTGCTAATTTGACAGATTTGCTAGGGAAACATGTTCTGTATCAGTACACATAAACTTCAAAACATAAAATATTATGTGATACTGCCACATATTTTGAATGGCAAGTAACAGAACTAGTTAAGTTGTCTTCACTGTCAATGAGTAAAAGATGAATTAAAAGCTTATCACACAGACGCAGTGTGATAAGGAATACTTTTGTAACACTTGTAAGATCAGCATTCAAAGAGGAAGAATAACAGCAAATATGCTTAACCCATGAAGGAAAAACATTCCATACAGTTGTAGGGATATTTGAATTTCAGGGAGTAATTTTGCAGTCACCACAGATTTGGATAATTTCCATGTAAATTAGGAATCATGGATTGTGTTTCAAGTAGTTAGCGGATGAAAGGTTGCATCTGCATGATTTAGTTAAAACAGAACTGCTAAGGAGTAAAGCAGAAGACACAGCATGAGATACTATTCATTTTACTTTGGATGTAATTTTCTCCTGGTTTGTTTTTTGTTTGTTTGTTTGCTGTTTTTTTTTTTTGTTGTGTTGTTTTGTTTTTGGTTTGTTTTGTTTTGTTTTTTTTTTTTTTTTTTTTTTTTAATAATTCCAAAATAGTTTGCTGTGATTAACGAATTTCTGCACTTAGAATTGGTAAAGCAAACTGAAAAATTTATGGGGCTGCTGTTAGGTAACCTGTATCATACAAATAAGATAACTTCATATTGAATTCTCAACCTCTGAGATATCTACGGACTGCAAAGGCTTAGGTGCATTTATACATTATGCAATTATGTATCACATAGTGTACACATGTACAGATACTGGCATGTGCTCGACCATAACAGAAGGCAAAACTCAAGAGTCCAAGTCATTTACATGAAACCCATAAGATGGCATGCTTATTAGAGAAATACAGCTCAACAGACATGAGATGGAAAAAGAGAACCTGTGTTCTGTCTTTAAGTCACTACTATTATTTGTTGCAGTTACATAAATGGCCATGTTCTCATGGAACCACTACAAGAGTGTATTATCTGTGAAAAAGCATATAATGCAGTATAGGCTGTATGTGAATAGTATGCAAAGACTTGTGTTTTCACACAGTCAATAGAGATCAATATGAAGATTTTTTTTCTCGTTATTTTTAAAGAGAAAGACGAAGGCAAATTAATTGTTGTTGAAACATACTCTATACAATTGTACTATATTTAAAAGAGTGGCATTAAATGTAAGGTCTTAAAAGTCTGAGCATAAGTTTGTAAGGCTGAAGCCTAAGTCAGCACAGAACTGTAAACACAATGTTTTAGGGTACTTTTCTTCAGTCAGCTATTCTTTCACTAAAAAAGGCAGTTCTAAGCCTGGAAATTTTGCTGAACTAGGGGAAAAAAGCAAACAGACAAATGTTGAAGTTTCCTCATTTCACTCATTTGGAAAGGGGGAAAAGAGCAGTAGAAGACATGCAGTGTTACTGTGCAAAACAAAAGCTAGTCAATACAAAACCATTTTTGATTTATTGTGATGATGCCACAGTTGCTCTTATCAGACCTGACTTTTCTGACAAGGCTTTCGTTCCCAGCAGATAGCATACTTCAGGTATGTGTCTAATACCTTTTAAAATGCAACTCAGTGGGTAGAAATAAAAATGATGACTTTACTTAATTGTGAGATAGGTAAGGAAATCTTTGCTGTCACATTTAAATTTTAATCTGATACTTCTGCCACTATGGATACAAAAACTCCAACCTGAAATTCTCTCTCATATCAGAGATAAATACTCAATACTTCCAGTGTTTTAAGGGAGGAGTTGTCTAGGTTTATAAATCATTCTGAAGAACAAAGCACCATCACTAGTTCTTTCAATATTTGCTTTGTGAGTGACAGACAATTTTGCATCACGATGCTTAATGAAATACTTTAAAACTTTAACCTGAATGTTAGTTTTCCTTTAGTTTGCAGCAAGAGAATTCACTGTAACCTAAGCATGAATTATAGTCTCCAAGGATTCTGCTGGAGTTCAAACTGATTACAAGTAGATCACACATAGACATTCACAATAGCAATGGATATAATTGTTCTATTTATAGCCAAGAACTCCCAAGTGACACTGGTGTTAAAGCCAGCCACAGTAAGGTATAATAAAAGTACCATTGAAACCCTTACTAGAAAGATACAATTTAGAAGTACCCCCTAAGATTTTTCCCCCCCCTCACCAGCTTTAAATTAAGGCCTCAGCAATGTAGCCCGTGAGATAAGGCCAGTCTTTTATATCCACAAGTCGTAAGTTCTCTTGATAGCTGACTCCAAAACATCTGGGTTGTCATTTTCCCTCTGTTCACGTTGTGTCACTGGTGTAGGTGAGGAGATTGGCTGCCAGAGTCATTTAGCTGAGGTGACTCCATGGTTGTTACCTTTCTAGGCAGATTTGCTTCTTAGTCAGCATTTTGTAGTTTTTCTTTTTTCCTCCTTTTTTTTTTTTTTTTTTTTTTTTTTTTTTTTTTTTGTGAAATAAAAATAAAACAAAACAAAAAAACAACGCCCAAAACAAGAAGGGATGCTTTTTGGGTTAAAGCAATCTGTTGCTGCTGTTCAGTCATCAATCTTCACAGGAAGTGAGTCTGAAGTCCCAGGAGCAAGGGACTGGGAGGGAATCCATATAGAGGCTTCCTCACCTCTTGTTACTTTCTCCCATTGGCTGAGATTGTCCCTGGAGATGCAAAAAAGTCAGAGGTAAAGCACAGTTTGTAAGTCTGCTAGGATTTCCTCTTAACAACACTGTCTGCTGTACTATACTTTGAGATGTAGCTTTATGCTGTATATAAGTACCTGTATGTCATCAACCTTTTATCATCTTTACATTATTTCATCCTTCACCTTAAGTTTTATCCCATTTCGTAATTCTGTGTGGCTCATATACATGTTGAGTATATATAAACCCATGGCATACCTTCCCCAGAACGAGCCCTGGAGCTAGAGGCTAGCACATGTTTCTATTATGAATTTCTAGCCCCAGCCCCCATGGCTGCAGAGAAATCCCAGCTGTGACCACCCGAGAGAAACATGTCTGCAGAGACTCTGAAACAGCAGTCTGAAGACAAGCAGTCTTCATTACTTCGGACTTCACGGATTTTACTACAGCATACTTTGGCCCTTTTCAAAACCAACAGAGATCAGAACTTTTGCTAGAAAACTTCCTTCATTGGAAACCACATCAGTGCATTAAGCCTTCTGAAACTCCTGTACGTGTCTTGCCCAACAGTGTATAAAATGTTGCATGACAACATCACAGCATCAACTTTCAATTACTAATGTGGTGATCATATTACCAATTTATGATATTTAAAGAGTACCCCTTCCTCAAGACAGAAAATTTTTTTAGTGTCTCACAGCCTGGCCAACCTCCAAGTCCAATTTTTATCTCACAGGCTGTAAAATGATGAGAGATTAAGCTGGCAATGTTCTAATGATCTGAAGGGAGTACAGACCCATAATCTTACTTGTTGTACACAGTAATACCACTGCAGTGACTTGGAAATCTATGCTAATGATGTCCAAGAACAGACCATACACACAACCTATGGCCAAATCTAGCATTCAGACTTCAAATACAGAAAGAGAGCAAGCTCAACTGTTTCAATTTCACACTGTCAGACACCTAGTTACTAAAACAACAGTTCTTAGATGTCTTCAGTAAACAAACAGGATAGTAAAAGTACTAAGGTTTTACGTGCTACGTGTCATATTATCGTATTACATTGGAATTTATGTGACAGAGTTCTGATTTTTATACCGCAGCTTTGCTGAAACAGTTCATAAAACAACAAATAATGAGCTGAAAGCACAGAGAACACGGAAGAAGAAAAAATGTTGCATTTTCTGGGGATGGAGGAAGGCAGGATCTGATGAGTTTACCAAAGAAAGCTGATGCCCTCTAGGGGAACACCTACACCATTTTCTGCAGGCAGATGGAAATCTGCTCTGCCACAGCTCCAGGGCAACTGGAAGTCATGAAGCCAGCGTTAAAACGGCGCTGAATCTCGCTAGCACAGTCATGCACTAAGGATCAGGAAAACTGAACTGTCACTATTTCTAGGTCCCTTTTTCCTCAAACTGGGAAAGTAACGAGGAGAATTGCAGCCAAAATATTTTTAAATTATATCCATTTCATCAAGACTTGAGAGACCTGAAAGCACATGGAAAATTGTTTAAAGTTATTTGGTCTGAAATAAAGGAAAAAATTAAATCACTTCACCTCATCCTCAAAATAAATATACTTTACTATTTATATACTAAATATAAATAGATTTGCCACTTTGGTAGGCCTACTGAGTACATGGGCTAGAAAACACATATAGGACTTTTTCTGAACACTGTAACACAGGTGACTGGTAGTTTTGATCAACACAGAATGACAAGAGAGTATTTAAAAATGTGGAATAAATTACTGGACAAGTAAACCTTCTAGATGCTTAGCTGCTACCTTACCTCACACAAATATTTTTTTTCTTTTTTTTTTTTTTTTTTTTTTTTTTTAAGATGTAGATAATACAATTAATTTGTCTTTGCGCTCCCAGTGAAGTCCTGGCTCCTAAGTGTCTGGAATAAATGCTCAGAGGTGCTCAAAATATAAACCTTGATGCTGACGTGCTGTTATGGCTGCTTTTGTTGCTATTATTTGCAGCTGGGTATCTGTGTTCCAAACAACTCAAGGACGCAGCAGCTTAAACACTGAGGTCCGAGAAAGAGCACTGCTAGTGAAGGGGTGATATCAAAATCATTTCAGTCAGCAGCTGAAGCAATACCAAACAGGAGCGAGGCTGTATTCCTCTTCATCACACTGAATAACAGTTATCCATCAAAAATAATGGAAAAACACTGTATAATGCAAAATCAGCTACTTGAAACACTTTGGATTAACCCAAACCCTGTAATAACATGCATTTTAGTAACTAAGGAGTTGAAGTTAGATCTATCTTGTTGATTTCCTACTCTGCATCTCCAAGTTTGAACTCTCAATACTTCCTCTTCAAACAGGCAGCGGAGGGTAATTTCAAGGCTAAGGTAAAACTATCAAAGTGTTCCTCAGAAGACTTTACGCCAAGGTGTGGATATTCAGGAGGCTCTTTAGTCTTACATGCCATCCACACACCTATGTACCAGTTCTGCATCAGTGCAATCTAAATTAAGGAATGAACAAGAGCTAGGTGGGGAACTGTGTCTGTACAGAGCAGTGTCCAGTCTAGACACTGCACCAGTGTAGCTTTCAGAAGTATCAGTATTATAACTATAACTGAAATTCCAAGCAAGAAACATAATTTCTAGAATAGAAAAAGTTCATATAATCTCTTCCAGGAGTCTGACTGCTTTTACTTCAGATACCAGACCTTTTGCAGAGAAACCCACTCTTGAAAAAATGTTCATGCTAAATCATCAGAATTATGGAGAACCTTTCATCTAGACCACATGTGTGTGTGGGTGCTTGATACTCTACAATTCAACTTTAAATCTACTCAGCTGAGTACTGAAAGATGGACCATCAACTATTACAAGTCACTTTTGCAAATAAGCCTCATTTGGATATTCATGTGGTTTGAAATCAAAAGATATGGGTCTTCCCAGAACATCACTCCTGAAGAAGATGCTGTGAATTCTTAAGCACTCAGTCTAGCCTACCTAAGCCTCAGTTCCCATTAAGTGGAATAACAATGCTAACTTCTTACCAGAAGTACTGGTAGACTTATGCAAATGGTTCTACAGTAAATACGAACCCATTTTAAGACCTCTCATTTGATTGTGCTAGTAGCAGAACTTTCCTGACATCCAGCGCTGAGGTTACTTTATTAATCATATAGACTCTGCAAGACATTTTCATGTTAAAAGCATACAGATACTGATGTGGGGAGTAGAAGCACACCCAGGTGTTGACAAATAAATAGTACAACAGAAAGAAAAATTTTCAGATATATATAAAGCAGTTTGACTGTATTTGTTAGCTTGAGTAGAAACAAGTAACTGGAAACATGATAAGCATTACTGCCTTTCTAAGGGTGCATATTATAGTTGATGCTGTTTAGTCCATATAAACAGTATAAAACTCTGACTGAAAACATGGTTATGAGAAGCACAATCTGCATTCCAGTTACATGGATCAAAGAACCAACCACTTAGCTTTCAGCCATAAACACAGTTTAAGCAACATGCTTTCAAGTAATGATTATAAAGAGAAAGAATTTTAAAAACTTCCAAGATTTCAGACTATCTATCAGTAATGCAGTTGGATAACTCATAACATTGTAAAGACTGAAAGAATTGTAAGCAGTTCTGTAGTTTAATTCATGTTCTGATTTCACACTGAAAGCAAATCTTCCATATTTGTCAGATCACACATTATTCAATTATCTATAATAAAACTATTAACACATATATATTAGGTTAACACAGCTCAGGGAGTACACATTCCTACCCCATACTGTAATTCTGAATTCCAAAACAGGATTTGGACTTTGATACCATTATGATAGTAACACACTCCATGATGTTTTGAAACCAGAGAAGAGTTTAATGCTCTATTCTAACTGATGGAACCAATAAAATATGCACTTATGAATACTTTCACATTACTCAATTTAGGATAAAAAATTACTGCCTATTATTTACCAGACATTGTTACTTTCATAGTTTCTAAGGATGAAAGACACTACTATAAGGATCACCTAGCTGGACTGCATAGAAAAGACAGGCCTTGGCAATTTCATCACAGCAACTGTGCCTTAGACTGTATCCCTTTTACCTCTCTTTTAAAAGGTGTACCTAGTCTTAGTTTAAGATCTTCAACTGTCATTACTCCAAATGCTAAAAAAAGATGTTCACCATATTCCTTGTTTGAACCTTCGAATTTCAAGTAGTCTTTACATGCTAAATTAATTGTCTAATCAGAAAATGTACTATGAAGACAGTTACAGGTTTTGATATTCTTTTGGATAAACTAAATGCATTATGTCAGATTTTTTAGTCTCTCAATGCTAAGATCTCAGAACATTCATTAAGCTCTTTCTTAACCCTCTCTTATTTGGTAGTGTCTTTCCCTACTCTTCTTAAAGCACAGATGCTAAACAGGATTCCAGCTGTAGCCCCATTAATGCAATAACTACAGAGGTATTGTCTCTAATATTCCCTCCATATCCATCTAAGGGTTGCACATCCATGCTCAGCAGTGGGACCTTAGAGACAGCTGACTATTAACGATAGCTCCTAGATACTCACTGGTTTTTGTAAAATGGTCCTCTGTCTCACTGATACAGCCCTACATATTCTTCTCACAGCTATATGAAATAGTGGTTGGGTGTGAATGAAATTATTTTCCTAACCACTATGTTAAATTTCACAGTGCTTTGTATATAGTGGGCACCCTTCGGTTAATTCACACAGATCATTTAGTTCACAAGCAAAGTGAAAGAGGAGGTAGATCTGCCATACAGAACAAAGAAAGGGTTCAATGCAAGCTAGAATTTAAGGACCAGAAGAGGAAAAAAAAAAAAAAAAAATATGAGAGGTGCTAGTAAGAGCATAGAAAAACAGACCTCTTTTCCCTGGATGTGATTAAGGATTGCTGGCATTTTATGAACCAACCGTTTTTCTTTAGAGAATGCTGATTAACCTGAAACTGGAACATCTTCATGAAGTATACTGATTTCAACAGAAGTTTTGTCAGGAAAGATTGCTAAAGTCCAGGGTATAATTATTGGACACGACTACCTACAAAGAGATCCACCATCATTCCAGTGTAGAAGCAGTCAATTGGTTAAGGACCTTTGCCTCTTCTCCAGAAGATCCCAAGCTACATCTCAACTGATTGACAGGACAAAGTTACATTTGCCTCTCCCACATCCCAGTGGTAATACCCTTATGCTCCCAGTTACTTAATATTTTGGGGATCTTTCTTTTCCTGCTTTTTAATAAATATGTACTGACATAAAATAAAACCACAAGCCAAAACCACATTTTTTTAATGAAACGGAATTCTAGTCAAACTTAGTTGTGAGAACCATGCTGAAGTACGAAGGACAGAGAGGGAAATTGCAATGAACCAGCCTAGGTGGGGATACATAAGCACTGAACCTGTTTTTCTCTAAATGTTTTTGTCATCAAACACATTTTAATCAGCTGTGTCTGTAGATCAGCATCAGATAGCCCCAGACAGTAGTTATTGCCTCTGGATTTCTGCATAGATTAACACGAGATGTGTTTCTCTGTTCATCTGGATGCAAATTCTAAAATTAGAAGTCTGTATTTCCAGAAAAACTTGCAAAGCATGTTTGCTTTTTCTTTAACCAAGCTATATAATATGCAAAAACTTGGGTATTTACTCACCTGCATGCTCGGAGTAGTGGCCCAGTTGGAGGAAAGATCTGTGCAAGTGTGGTGTAACATGGGATGGCTACAGCATTGTAGAACCCAATCTATGAAAAACAACGATGAAAAAAAATGTTTAAATGTTGCCAAACTACAACACTGAAAGTTAACTCAAAGCTGTTGACTCCATACTTAATTATCACTTATGTTAGTACTTCATACTTCTGCATCTCCTTTTAATATTCAAATGCTTTAAAATGAAGCACCAACAGTGAAGTATCTGACAATTACAAGCTGTCTACATGTCTCTCTTTTATGGCGGCTTTTATTATTCAATTGATTTGCTCAGAATCTGTCTGGAATTTTGGTGTCAGAAGTGGCAGGAAGTAGGTGGAGATGGCAGAACCATTTCTGCAGACATTATTTTTATAATAATTTTTTTTTTAAAAAAAAAAAAAAAAAAGGTAAGTTGTGCAGCAGTGTCAAAATATGGTTAGATTCTGGATTGTTCTGATGTCCTCCAGAGTATGTACTCTATAGCTCTGATTACTTGAGATGCAAGGGGCTTTGCACCCTTGGAAAGTTTCTAAAACGTGTGCACTGTGATCAATAATTTGTTTGAAATTTCATGTATGAAGTTCAATGATATATTTTTACCATTATCATATAAATCTATTTAGGGAACATCAAATGAGCACCTTTTTAATGATATCTGATTCATACAGGCTTAGGGACCTATGACAGATAGCATATCAGAGCTGAAATGTCATGACATAAGGGAATTTTTAGAAAATGCTACTTATATATTAGCAAGGATGACAAGTTAAATTCAGATCCATTATAACATCACTCATTTATCCCAGACTCTCATGATAGTTACAGTAGTGCATTATGGTCCCTTTCTTTGGGCAGAGTTTTTAAATGCCTTTTAGTGAAATACCACGCATTGTACTGTGACCAAAGCATTTGATAAGTCTTTTTTTAACAGTCTAAACACTGGCCCTTATTCAGAAATTGAAGGGCAACTCTTGTCCTCACCTCCATCAATACAGAGATTCCTCCCATACTGCTATATAACCAAGTCCATTCTGTACTTTAAAAAAAAATTAAGATATATTTTCTGACCTGAGAACCCAACTGTCTGAGCTGGAAGCAATCATGATGTAACCAAGGGAAAGAAACTGCAGCTGGTGAGAAGGCAAGGCTGCACACAGATTTGATGTCTGCTCATCAACAAAAGGTTTGTTATTTTGCATAGCACATTGTTTTCTTCCTATGTGTTCTTTTCTTGTGTGTGTTTTTTTTTCTTGTTTGTTTTTTAAGGGGAACTATTTTATTTCACTGGAAAATAGCAGATTACTCCATAGCTATCAAAAATTAAATTGGGACCTTACATACAGTCACACTGTAGACCTTCTAGCTCAATGAGAAGTGTGTTGCCATTGTAAAACATAAAACATTTCAATTAAACTAAGTTCATCTGAAATATATTCTGAACAACCTTCTTTTTTGGAACTCCAGTATTTAGAATAAAATGTGTCCTTTAAGGACCTGAAAGCCTTTAAGTTAAAATGCACATCAATCAAGGATGAAGAACCCTAAAAGGCTCAATAGATTTAGGATCTGAATAAAGTCAAGCTAATTAAAAACATTCCTTAGCGAGAGTTTCCATTTCTGACCAGAGGAAACACACAAATCCCTTTTGTAAAAGGTATAGATTATTTGAATACATGATTCCAGATTTATTTTGATGTTGCTATGGCTAGATAGAAAGCCTACAGTTCACTCAGGTATGAGCAAACTATTGAAGTCGCTGCAGGAAAGGCAGTGTACATATATCTTAAACATGCATAAGCAAGAGGAACTAGAAAACAGCTTTTGTTTTGGAAATAAATTGTTCCTGTCTCCCCAGTTGTGCATCCTAAACATACTGCTAGCTTTAAGGGCTGGATCTTTAATGTTATGACTGAAGTCAGAAATCACCCTTAACACTTTAATCCTTGCTGTGTAAGAGCAAACTTTTAATTTTCAACTTGAAAACTGTATTTCTGGGATAAGATTTGAATGGCTGAAGCACGTGAACTGTTCCTTCTCTCTCCCTTCATCACTCAGGCTGGCTTGACTTGCTTATTGAAAGGGCTTTTATGTCACTGCCTTGTTTTGGCATTGCTGTTTTCTTCACAGTTTCCAAAAGGAGGGGCAGAAAAGAGGATGATGGGATCCTTGCTGAGTCAGGAACAAACCCTCAGTGGAGGCTCCACAGTAGGAAGACACCAAACTCAGAGATCTGACATGAGTTGTGTTACAAAGGGTGCAAAGCACAACAGAGAACACCTGATCCATCCATACAACTGAGAGGAAGAGCTCAGTACAAGGTATTCTCATCAAAGACGACTACTTGAGGCAGAAGTAGATGTTTTCAGAGATTACATGTTTATACAAAACCTCATTTCCTAAACATCACTGTCATTTAAATAAGTACTAATGCTTTAATTAAAATCCATATAAAAATATTCATTAAAGCTTTTTATCAGAGACCAATAAAATGGCTGATAATGCTTTATTAAATTCTTCAGTCACTACATAAATATAGGAATGATTACTTTCACAGAATTGTATGTCCTAAATCTCACAATTTGCTGGATCGCTGTTGTAAGATACAGCAGCTACAACTATACTACTGAAGTTGGCTTTTAACATCGGATTTTGCTTAATATTTTACTGTTACAATATTAAGCAGCATGAAACAGAGCACAAAGTAAAAAAGAACCTGATGAAGACAGTACCTGAAACAATACTGTGTTTTAAAGAGAAAAAACAATAGCTTATTTCTTAGATCTGTCCTTTCACCCTGTTAACAATTCTTTCACAAATGCCAAAATGGCTACATACCATAGTACTGTGTACTTTTCAAGATGTTCAAAGATAACTAATATAGTGTGTGGGAAAATTAACCAAATGCATAAAAATGTTTCTTCTCTTCTTAGGCTTATACTAAACACACAAAATTAGTAAATTACAGCTAATTCTTTACTGTAGTAAGGGTAATGGTTTTAATGTTAAAATATTATAAAGCATATGGAGTAAATTGTCAGAATACAGAAATTTCCATAGTCTTGCTTACCAAGTAATCCATAGGGATTTTGTGATACTCTGTAATTTCTAATTTATTTTAAATATTACTGTTAATTTCAGAGTTCATTAAATGCTTTGTGAGTTCCAACTACCTTTATTTTCCTCAAATTTATGTTTACAAAATGTCAATTTTCCCAAGGGAAAGCATAGAAAAATCAGTTATTTCTGCACATTTGTGCACAGGAAAATCAACACCCAAAGACTCTGAAACATAGACAACTGAGGCTCTTAGAAATACACTCTTTATTGCTTATCCTCAAGAAATTATTCGTGTTTGTTTTTTTTTTTTTTTTTAGGAATGTCAGAAAGCAATGTTTATAGTTATCCAAAAAATGAATGAAGAAGTAAGTGTAGAAGTATTAGTATAAAACCACAAACATTTTGAAATCTGAACCTGAATATTTTAACCAGAAGCAGGTACGGAAGCCCATTTTGCACTCAGAATAAAATCTTTTAGCTCAGAGCTGAAGCAACCGCTTACTAAATTGAAAAACTGTTATTAATGCCTCTTAAAATCCTGGGTGATTGTGGTTTTAGCTAGAGTTAAAAGTACAAAGAATGGAAGAAGTAACAGCAAAGAGCACATTGTCATTTAAGTAAACATTTTATAACAAGTTTTTCACTGCTACTTAAGAAAGTTAACCCTCTTTTGCATGCAGAACATAGAATTCAGCAGCCCACATACCTTAAGTCAAATACAGCATTTTTCCATACACATTTTATTAACACTATAAACATATATCATTTTACTGAGAAAGTTCATACCTGACCCTGAGGGACTTCATCTTTCTTGTCTCTGTCCATCATAGGAATAGGTTGAATACCCGTTTTCTTCATTTCATCACCCTGGAGAAGGGCGGAGAGAGAGAGATTAGGAAAACAAAAATGAAGACCGCTGAGATCTGAATTAATTTCCATCCTCTATTGTATGTTGATTTACAAAACCAGAACTTAAAATAATGTATAGTGTCAGTCTTAAAGAAATCTCAGAAAACTGCCTAAGGAGGGGCTAATTTTATACATTTACCTAAATGATAATGAAACTAGCAGATCCTGGAAATGAATTTTTTGAGTTAATGTACACATATTTTCCTTGTTTCTGAGGGTATCTCCATAATAAAAAGCAACTGAAAGAATAAAACCAAAGAAATCAGTTCATTCTGTTCTATTCTATTCATAGTTAGTCTCATCTTTCAAGATATTACCTGTTTAAAGCACTATAATACAATGACTAGTAGAACACAACTCACCCATCCAAGGAAAAGCCGAGTAAAACAGATGAATTTACAATGTGTGTTGTTTGTCAACAATCCAACCTTTTTGATCATGAGCCTTTGAAGAACCTGCCTGTCAAACAGCCTTCTTCTATGTAACTATACCTCTGCATTCATATGAGGAATACTAGGAATGATGCAGTATATCCAAAGATCAGACGTATGTAATGTACAAGAGAAAACTGCCTCTTTGTATTTCACTAATTACCAGCAGAGCAGCCAAACACATTTCTGAACACTATACTGGGCCTGAACACAATCACTCCTTAAAAATCTGTAAGCAGCTGGCTACTTTCTGTAAGAAATTGAAGTTTTCCAATAGTCTTATGCCTCAGCTGCATTGTAAAACACCACAGATATTTATTCTTGAAGTTATAAAGGCAACTATAGCTGTAGCAATGGTTTGCATGGTAAGGTTTGGGTAGCCAGGGGCATACAGGTTTGAATTCTGTGAGAAGGTGCTAGAAGCTTCTCTCATGTCCAATAGAGCCAGTGCCAGCTCTATGAGGGCTGCTATGGGGAAAGCTAACTCCATCCCAGCCAGACCCAATACACCTTAGGGAAAAAGTTTATGCAGGATAAGTGCTCATACAATACTTGCATATCTGTGCCCTTTAATGTGAGATTCAGCCGAGAGAGGTTTAGCTATCTGAAAGCTTAGGACGTTCCCTAAATCCATGTTTCCTGCAGTTATTGAAGGCACCTCCAGAAGACAATTTATTACAACTTTCTCATAAGACTTTTATCAAGCCACATTTCAAGTGCCAACATGCCCTTCGAAGGGGGGACTTTTGACACTTTTACTCAAAGAGAAGTTTGCAATATAATAAATTTATTCTGGTCTGAGTAGAGCATCTGTTTGACTGACCTGCAACTACCTTGAATGCAGAAAAGATGGGGCCTTCCGGAATTCAATTCCCTCCTGCATATTTAACCTCAACATCACTTACTAACTATGATCCTGCTCAATTAACTTCAAGAGAAGTATTCAGGAAGTTATTTTTGAAGTGGTGTCTGTACTATTCTCTCATATCTCATATTTCTTTCTCCAAGTAGTTAGAAAGGCTAGAATAATCGATCTTAGTCTTTGTTAGATATTTTACTGTTGAGAGAAACAAAAGGGAACGCCTCCTTCCTCAGCTAATAAAAAAAAGATGCTTGTAACAATTCCAAGCACAGAAATTCAGTGGATTGTTATTTAGGAACTGCAAGCAAATTTTGGTTTTATGTGCTCTCAGTAAACAATATTTAATTTTTTTTCCATTTGCTTGAAGTACTGCAGTTGACTGATCTAGGACTGTCTGCAGATACCTTAGTCTCAGTGATAAGAACCTCAACACTAAACCATTTAGCATCATATGATTTTAAGCTCTTTGATTAACGTATCAAGTGCTTGAGAAACACTTGAAGTCAGAGCTTTGAGGAAGCTGTCCAGCCTCTGACTGATTATGCCAAAACTAAATAAAACTCAGATTTATATTCACCATTTCACCTTGAAACAAAAAGGTATCACAGAATCACAGAATTATTTGAGTTGGAAGGATCCTCTTAGGATCATCCAATCCATCCCACACACCTACCCCAGCAGGATCAGCTAGAACAGGTGATCCAGGACCATGTCCAGTCAGGTTTTGAATATCATCAGTGATGGACACTCTACAACCTCTCTGGGCAACCTGTGCCACTGGTCAACCACCCTCACAGTAAAAAAGTATTATGTTTAGATGGAACACGAGCACTAGAAACACAAGTGTTTTCTTGTGTTCAGTATGTGTGAACACATATATGATACACTGTTGCAAAAAATACTTCTTTTATCCTCATAGTTATGATCACAATCAGAAAGTTAAAGTTGAAATTTTAAGCAAAGAAGTTTGTATCATACTTGCAGGTATGGCTATAATAAGTGGCATATAATAAGCCTCTTTAAAAAATACTGCAGAAAACGCTTAACTATCTAGTGTCTCATATCTCACAAAAAAAAAATCACAGCAAACATATTATACAAGCTTGTAATCCTATATAATTGATCAGCAACTGTATTACTTTGCTTGAGTTGTAGCACTGTAGGAAAGCTTCATGCTGAAGTGATATCAAAGTAAATCTTAGCTGAAAACATTAGCTCTACTAGGCTTCATTCAATGAAAAAAGATCAGTGTGACACCACAGAATTGCTGTAACCTCTTCTGCAAGTTAATGTTTTAGTTAAAGATTACACAAAGAAGAAATATTATTAAAATGTTCTGATTAAAATATTCAACACATTAAGATTATGAACTCAAGTAGTAATTAGAAACATTCTATCTTACTTTTAGAACTGTAACATAACCACTAAATCTAGTTAAATATACTTTTCTAGAGTTTGCCTTTTTTCTCAATTGGGTACCAATTTCTGCAGTGAAACTAAATCTAAACTTTCCCAGGATTTTCCCTATATCTGCCACCAGGATTCCTATTTCCAGAAGTGTTTAGACCTGTGACTGGATTTGTCAGCCATCCTGACTAGAACACAACATATCCAATTTCTGCCATGTATCAATTAACCTCCTCTTAAAGAGGATTTAGTAAAACACCAATTTCAATATTTCAATTTCTGTCAATAACTTCTAATTTACATTTGCTCCACGAAGTAGCAGTCTAACAAGATCCATCTTTATTAACTCATGCTTGGATTACAAAAAAAGTTAAAGTCTGAGCAGGCTCAATTATGTCCATAATTCCATCTTTACTATTGTTGAGTAGGAAAAATCAGTTTGATCCTTCCTTCTCCACTGAGTTCACAAGATTTGCATTAAAAAATCTTTTTACTTGTAAGTAAAAAAGTTGAGTATGTAATCAGCCAGGCACATCAACATTATACTTCCATTATCTCCCTCATGAGAACTCCCACTTTCCAGTGCTGACGTTTTAGAAAGTGAGTACCAAACTAGATCTTTGAGGTTATACAGTCTGCATTTCTCAAATATTTTATTGTAGTCTGAGCTGTTCACAATTAAGAGAATGGGAAAATGTGAATACAAAAAACCACCCACAAGCCATGCACATCTTGAATTTCATAATGAACATGCAACAGACAGGACAAAAATCTCCACACTATATGCATACTACATCATCTCTGTGGGCCTGATTTCCATTTTACAACTGTGTAAAACAGAAATAAGCCCACTGAATTCTGCAGATTTCCACAGCACACATAACAAAAGAGAACAAAACTTTATGAAACACATGTGCAATAGCAGTTCTGAAAATATAGCATATCTTCTAAAATTGCATAATTCAACTGTATGCAACACCCTCAGAATTTATTCCTTATCCCTAAAGTAGTCACTTCCACTTTAAAAATTAAAGCACTAGAACACTTACTCAGCATAAAACATGTGAGATATTGCATCTTTATTTATGGACATCATTACGTTAGCACAGCTCGATACCTTGTTTCAATTCTCAGTACATTTTATCTGTGGAGTAACTTTCAGTATATTAAAAAATCAGCTCTCTCTGAGACCCAGTTGGTAAACTGGCTCACAAAGAAGATTCAAATGGTCAAATCAGAACAATTTCAAGGTTTGTCATACTTGCTTTAGCATTTCCTGGACTCATACTACAGCTTTATGAGTGTGTTTCAAGGCAGCTGACCTGGAAACAGGTTTCATATTTTTGATTTCTAGAATACAAATAGATCTTTCACAAATCTTACAGATTTTCTTCTGTATTCTGTTGCTTGGTCACTTTATGTTAGGACATACTTTCTAAATTCATCTTAGAGAGAAAAAAATTTTGCCTGAAAATTAGGAAGCTAAGTTTTTAAATAGCTTCAGAGAAAACAACCAAACACTTGCATGCACCAATGGACACTCTTTAGAACAAGCATATTAAAATAGCCATTGAAAAACATTTATGGTTGTTTTTTTCTTCCTGGATACTTCCATTTATAAAGAAAAAGAGTAAACAAAAGAAACACACATACCTCAGCCCAAAACTCTGCATATATGTCATTGGCTGTCAGTCTCGTAACTGGCCACAACTTTGTTACAGAACACAAATCACAAGCCGTCATCATCAGACCAATCACTCTATCTCTAAAATAAAATTATGTTAAACTGTAAGTTTGGTAAAGAATTAATGATCACACTGCAAAGTTTTTATTTGCTCTTCTTCAGTTCAATCAGTGGTAAAGTACAAATACTACAAAATTTCTCCCATCTTGCTTGTTTCTTCCTCACTTGTTTATAATTCATTGATAAGGCATTGGACAAATTGTTTATTATATTCCCTGTAGTGTTCTCTGCACTGTTTGCAACCAGGGTTCACTGAGTATCCTCTGCACAACCACATTCATAGAAAAATACACAAGAACACCTGCCTATTAAAACACTCACATGCTCCTCCTTAATTTTCTGAAGATGCAGTACAAGTCTATAAAAAGAAAGATGGCATATCTTATTGCTACATTTCTTTGTTCTTTAAAGAGAGAGGAACACATGCTCCAAAAAGAGGAAAAAAATAGTTCTGAGTCTGTTTAAAGGTACTCTGTCATTGCTTTGTGGGAATGAATTCTAACCCTGACAGAACAAGAATCCTATATGTAACTGTCTTATACACTGATGAAGCTGCTTACATAATAACTGAACACTATCAATAGTATTATAATCATTATTAGAATAAGGCACACAAAAAAAATCTTATTTAAGCAGTTTTCTAGCACTCATCTACTATCCAAACCTGTGGCTTACAAATCTAAGTTTTGTAAAGAAAACTGACAAATTAACGAATGAATTAATGTGTTTTCCACCTGATGAAGAACTTAAGATGACACATAAGGACACCTGCACCTTTGTTAATAATGTCTATTCCATAAATAAAGCACACAACTTGTATGCCAATGTAATGGCAGTCATTAAAACCGTACCAAGAGAAAACTATATCAGGGAAAATACACAAATACACAATATACTCAACAGATGTATGGTAAAGTACAATTCTTGTGGGTTAAGAAAGTGGATTCATTAGCCGCATAAGGGCCAAATTTGGCATTCCATTATATGCACAGATACCAACTAGAAGTCTTGGATTCTTTAGCCACATTACAAACTGATGTCCTCTCTTCAGACATGTGGCTTTGCACTGAAAATGCTCTGGGAGCAGGTAAGAAAAAAAAAAGACAAACATAGTAAATTATTCAATCACACACTAAATAGTTGTGGTCCTATTTAAATTTTATAAACCCTAAATTCAAGACTTTTGGTAAACTTCATTCCTGAGATTATCAGGAGCTACTACATCCTTGCCTTTTTAAGATGCTGAGGCTTATTCAAGTCTGATAAGCTTCAGTTCCATACTGGGAAACAAGTTTTTAAAAACTGCCCTTCCTACAGTGTTGTAATAATTTATTCAAAACTACTGACAAAAACCTGTAAAACTCCTCAGAAAGAAGACCCAAAGTTCCATTTGAAAAGAAATCAGGATCATGATTCAATATTTTCCCATGTTACCTCTCTAATTTTTCTGTGCATTAGATTAATGCCAGTATCTGCTTTCCATTAAACAAGCTCTGAAGAACTGCATGAACACTTTAATGAAGCCTGTTATGAGACACATCTCTCATCCAGGGTGCACGATGTTTTGCTTATGCAGACAAAGAGAGTCGTGTATTTATGAATACGGATATATGCACTTGTATATTTTTAAAACTCAGAGCTATCTTAATTTACAAAGATTAAGATCTGATCAGAATTCTTTCCAAGAAAAGCATGTCCACAGAATAATAAAAACATTGACATAAAATTAAAACTAAGTAAATATTGCACTATGCCTTTTCCTCACCACCTAACTGCCTGTGCTTTCCTCTGCATATGATCTGTCACTGAACTGTGCAGATGACAGCCAAAAGCAGTGACATGCAAATATAAAACACTAGAAATTACTGTTACATACTTGCAATTTTACATGCAGTTGGTCTTGGAAATCTCATATATAAGAAAATTACTGTGTACACAGATTTTTTTTTGCCAAAATACAGTTTTTATTTCTAGGACTAATGCCATAGTGAGTTAATACTGGTTTGCTGGATTACCTGTGTGCTTGGTTCTTAAGGTTTAATGCTCCCGTCTGATGCAGCTCTTCAAGCTGTTTTCTATTTCCAAAATACAGGGCAAGGTCTGTGGCAATGATGGCTTTCCGGATGATCTCAAGGACTTGCTCATATTCGCTGGAGCTCAGATTGGAGAAGACATTGTGCCCTTCCAGCTATGAAAAAGTAAAAAACCAATAAAAAGCACAAGCTCTAATTCTGAGATGATTTCAGTCTTTACTTCACCAGACAGGTTACAACAGTTTTACAGCCCAATGACAACTTTTATTGCAAATTCAAATGCTGACAGCCTGAAATTCCCATTTTTATCTTTACTTTTTAAACACTGTCATGAAACCTATGGCTAAGCCACTGATTGTTTTGGGGACTGCCCCCCATGAAGCCTAAAGGTGTTAATAGACAAAAATGCTAGCTTTTTCTTCTCTGATTTATAAGAACTTCCAGACAGTATTAGCTTGGGAACCTGTGACTCGATGCTGGTCCAGAGTACTGCATTGCACAGTTGGCACTCTGAAGTACAATTTTGATACTGCATAACATAAGGATAAGGAAATATCCAATTTAAAGTACTAAAATATTTTTGTTTTTATAGTGTTCCAAATGAAATGTGCCTGAAATTTCAGCATTTACTGATACAAATTTCTTTATAGAAATTAAGTTGATTACAGTATTTTAATGTATATGAACATTTAGGGGATAAGCTGCTTTGTTCAACCATGAGGTGACTGACTCATAAACTAAAGACAGTGATTTCCACTGTGGAGGCTCTGCCAATAACGCTACTGTCATCTCCTTTTAATTTGCACTATGTATTATTGCGCATTTAACTGACAATAGCCATGTACTGTGATTGCTCATGAAGCTATATCACATTTTGAAAAGTCAACACGATTCATTGTCTCTAAGATTTGGAAAACAGCTTGTCAAAAATCTTCCAACTGTTGAGAGGAAACAGAGAAAAATAAGAAAGAATGAGCCAGCCATGTCAAGGTGTGCATATTCACAAATAGAAAATATTATTAAAATACATCAAATGCAGATGTGTTTTGACATTTAATTGGCATTTGGTCTGAAGCTGACTTTTATCAAGCATTTACATAATTTGTTTAAAATAGATCCTCCATAGTACAAATAGGCTTGGTTTCTCTCACCATCCAGAATGTAAACACCGTTTTCCAACATTTTTACTTGGACAAGTAGACTTACTGTGAGTAATGAATAGAAAATACAATCTCTTTATGTCTCAATGCTCCTTTGACAGACTCCTAAGTCATAGAATACGATGTTTAAAAAAAAAAAAAAAACAAAAACGTTCAGAACATTTTAACCCGTCATCAATACTTTGGGATCCGGAAATGAGTACTATTAGTTTTCATGATTTATCTTTTTAGTGACCCTTTCCTTCCCAACCTTGCTGCCTAATCCACGAGAACAGACTATTTGTCCTAATATTTAAATTATCCTAAATTCTAATCTTTAGGCTTTAGAGGCTGCACTATCATCAAGATGACTGTGACAGCTTCTGTTCATACTACTAGAAAAGAAATGATTTTGTTACATACTGACAGAAGCTGCCATTTCTGAGCAAGTCACTTTGGCTTTTGAGTAGTACATACAAAATACAGTTCCCTAAGATTTTATTCTTTCCATTCTGACCTAAAGCTAGTGAATAGAATCCTCTGTATTCATAAGTATGGTGTACAACTAGAACTGCAGGTGGATGAGCAAAGCAGCTATAAAGTTTCAAACAATGAAAAGTACTGCAGGTTACTAACATAAAATAAAAACTCATTGAGATAAACCCTAGACGGTTTGGTGGGTTGGTTGGCTTTTTTTTTGGTAACAGTCCAGGAATTCAGTGAGGCTTTTTGATTCAAAGAAAAGACAGCAAGTCCAAAAGACTGCTCTAATCTGCCTTTGCTGCTAATCACTGCCCAGGGGCACTTGGGTAGCTGGTGTCTGAATCCACACTACAGCCGTGACCACCTATCTCCCCTTCCTCACTCATATTGATGGCCCAGGCTAGGAGGTAGCAGGGAAGCAACAGGGTTCCCCTGACTTCTTGGCAAATGGGACTTTCACCAGTAACGTTCCTGAAGAAAAAATACAAAATGGTTTTTGATGAATGACTGAAGTCTGCTTCATGTAGCCATAGAGGGACAGGGAAGTGTTAATGACTGAGGAACTTGCTCACTGTGCACAAACTCACACGAATACTAAACGAATACTAAAAATCTGATGCCATACCACCACTGAAGGATTCAATTACTCCCTCCTCAATTACACATGGAGGAGCATTCAGAGATAAAGCTTCCACTCTGATGAAATGTATAGGATACCTAAAACCATAATCACATGATGTGCTTCTGAACACAATATAGAATATGTATTTTTCCTAAAAGGTGATTAGCATTTAAGAAAATAAATATCTTCCTCCTGAAAGACCAGAAAGAAAAAAAAGTTAACAATGAATTAGTGGCACAGTAGCACGGTAAAGGTTGTGCATTGAATGTGTGCATGGTAAACTAAACCCAGTGAGCAGAGGTATGTTGTGGACTGGCAGTGGTTTCATAGATGAGAGTTCTCACTTGTCTAACTGAGCATGAAAAAAATTTTCACTGATGAGAAATTATCTGCATGTCAGTAGCAGTAGCATACCTGGATTTACCAAAATGTGCCTGCATGTTTTCCTGTAGTTTTCTATTCATTAAACATACAGACATATTACCTTACATTAGGAACTCTCTTTCATAGAATATTACCTTAGGTTTTTTTTTTTTATTATTTCAAATTGATGAGTGACAAAAAAACACATGATAACATAATGAAATACGTTTAAACTTTTCATGCGTGCAAAATTAGTATTTCCTCTTTCATGCCACACATTTAATGTTCACTGAATTTATTACAGCAGGTTTTCAAGCTTCTCATGCAAACTTTTGCCAGTACTTAAGTTTTTATTCAGAATTTCAGAATGGTTTAAGGCTTTGTTGAAGTGTGTTATGCTGGAAATATCTAAAAAAAGCAAGAAACTGATTCTTCATTTTCAAAGATCCTATTCCATATTGCCGTAGAAAACCCCTCATTTACCCAGAAGTTAAAAGCTCCAAAGAAAGTCCATAAGCAAAGACCTTCAAATACACAGTATTTTTTATAACATCGAGATCTTGGAAAAGCTATGTTTTGCACTATTATTGGATGCTTGGGTTGTTAGTCGTGGAACCTGGCTTGCTGTAATAAATCTTCCACTCTTCTAAACGAGCACTACAATCCAGGAATTAAATTAAGCATGCTTCAGAAAATCTACTGGGTAATGACATGACTCCTATTTCCGCCACTGGACGCTACTGCACAGAAGATACAATTTCAATAATCCTACCTGCAGGATGGACACAGTCTGCGAGAAGTGGTGCTGTTCCATTGTTGAAGTGGAATAGAGAGCAGCTAAGGGGTGATCAAATTTCTGAAGATAGCTGTTGCTGTAACCTCTGTGATCCAGGTCATGACACAGGCATGCAACTAAAAGACCTTTTCGCTACAAAAAAATTGAGATAAATATGAAAAGTAAGATGTATTTCCTGCCCCTAGATGTCACTCTCATCCCAAAATATTGTAGAAGTTGCACTAGGCTTACACTGCCTTCAGAAAGCACATGGAGAAACATCCTTAAAATTGTGAGAAACAAAAAAGTGAGGATGTGCTGAATTAAAATTCTTGGTCCAATTGTAATTCAAAACTTTTATATATTATTAATTTTAAAAACACTTGCACAGTCGCATACTATTGGAGTGATTCTGCTTCAGGCAGAAATCTGTATTTTAAACAAATTTTCTGGTCACCCACTGAATCTTTACCATGTTTATTAAAAAAATAAAAAGTGCAGATATTGAAGGAAATACATAAGATGTATGATCTCCTAATCAAGGCAGTAGCACTGAAGTCCGATGCTAAACCTGCCTCTCGGAGACAGCTTCTTGAAGACAGTAACCTAGTCTCACAGGTAAAACTTTTCCTAGGAAGTCACTAAAATAAGCCACAGAAACTCTGGACAAAGGCAATTGCAAACAGAGTAAGACAGTGATTGATTTTTTTATTTAATTAACTCTTACTATCCTGAAAAAATGGAGTCCCTGAAATCTCTCTTTCAACACACAAAATACATGAACACTTGCAAAAGGTGTTCACACAGCAGGTCTGTTTTGAAAACTCATTAATGTTTGTGAAGCAGTCACTGTCAGCATGGAGTATCATGAAAATTCCTTTATAGACTTAAAAGCTCTGTCTTATAGTTGGTTCTGATGAGCGTTCAGTAAACAAGGATAGGGCTATAAAATGAAGCAGAAAAAGAATACTGATTAACCTTCTATTAAGTGAGCAACATCCAACCTACATTCTGTATTGAGGCACATGATTATGTGGGAAACAGCAAACAATGATGTAACTAAAGATTTTATCACAAGTATACAATGTGCAGAATTAAGGTTGTATCAACCCTAACTATTGCTGATTTTGAGACCTTTACTTTCCTTTTAAATTCTTCACTTTTCTTTTTAATGATGTATTTTCAATATTGCATCTTGTGAAGTACATTTTTTAAAAGTACATAATAGAACAGATGATGCAGCAGCACACACAGATCCACAGCAGAACTGGAACCCTTAGGAACATAATGCACACCTATGTTACTTGAAGTCGTGCAGTAACAGCTGAAGGAAACTTGTATCCCCTTTTCACTGCTATCAGGAGGGACACAACATGTAATAGACTTGAAAAACAATCTCTGACAGCAAAAGAAAGATCAGTCTCAGAATCCTTTGTGCTACATGTTAGATCTAGTGGGCATAAGATTTTCTGTCCTTCCCCAAGTTTAATTCTCCTGTTGCATCCTGTACAAACTGTGTTTTCCAGTCTTACAATACTCATCAGTCTGTCCCTTGTACCAGATGCTTCTCTTTGTCTAACTTGTACCAGTAAGTCATTTTGTCTCAGTCCTTCAGGATTATGCAATGCCTAATTCCAGTGCCCTCGACCTTGTACCCACTGTCCCTGTTTGGATCTCAACTCTCTGATCACTGCCAACTGCTGGATCTATTTGTATCTAGATCAGGGTCCCCTTTACAGTGTTTCATACTTCTCTTCCCATCTCCAAGTCTATTGAGGTTCATGTCATCATCCCTCACCTGAGACCAGCCCATCCTAAATCCCCAAACTTTCCTTCAGCAGTTTCCTGTATTCTTGTTGGATTCATCACCAGTCTCAAGAAAGGAGACTGCTAGAAAGGGCTGGAACATAGGCTGGGATAAGGTATTCAAACAGGTGATGTCTGGATGGAGTTTGGCAGGGAACAAAGACTGTTTCCATCACTCTTAACAACTGTCTTTTTTGCTCTCCCTGTCTTTCTTATTCTGCGTCTCCAAAATGACAGGGCTTACTACTTGGTTAGTACTAAGTGTTATCAGAGCTTTCAATATTCCCTGAGGCTGTAAATCCACAGATTTTTGTTGTTAAAGGAATACTGATTTTTTTTTCAAACTTGTATAGCTTTGTCAACTTTCAGCATATGCCTGGCAAATGCCACTTTCCTATTTCAGTGTCGATTTTCAAGTCCCTGCTTTACAGCAGAACGAACTAGACCTTTTCAATTGAAAGATCACTGAATTTTATTTTATTCTTATACACTGAACAAAAACTTGATTCTCCTAACATGCTTCTTTAAAAGAGCCAAAAAAATTTGGCTGAAATTTCCCCAAATGAATCAGCTTGAGGAAGTCATGGAGTTTGGAAAATTACAGCCCAAATGGGTAGTATTTGGCAAGGTATACACAACTGAAAACAAGTTCTCCCAGTCAGAAGTTTCAGGTAATATTAATAATAGACAGCACTCCCAGTTGCACCTACTACCATAATTCAGAGAAAAACCCACAAGTGACAGTTCTTCATAGTGTATATTAACATTTAACCGTTCTAAGTCTTCCATTTTATTATTATAACTTTGCCAGTTAGTTATTGATTAAAAGTATTTTTTTCCTATTTTTTTTTTAAACACTATCCATTAATCTTTAAAATATGTACATGTATACCAAGGAAAACTGTAATATAATAAAATTTAATTAGTGAATTAGCATATTTGGACAACTGCTTTCCTTCCATTCTTTACACTCTTCTCCTTTACTCACATATGTCAACCACCTCTGCAACCCTTGTCCTCCTATTCAGAATCTCCCACACCTCACAGGGTTCAAGATACAGGGTGTTTCCCTCCCCTCAGTATAGAACTGACAGCTAGTTAAATAATTAAAATAAAGACTGTGTTTGTAAGTGGTCAGAGAGAACCTCAAAATGTGGATGTGGACTTGGAGCAGATCTGCTACTGCTTCTTCAGTGGGTGAACCAGGAAAACGTGAAGGGAACACTAGGATTAGGAATCTGAGTGAGTCTCCTTCCTCAAGCTTTCTACTCACACCTGTTCCTCTGCAGGGACCTTCAGATATACACTCCGCCCAAGCTGACAGCAAAACTCTAGCATAGAAGATGTACTTCTACAATGGCTGATACCTCTGATGAGGTCTAGTAACGGATACACTCATCTCACCTACCTCTAGATCAGTGAAAAGCCCCTGGTTGTTCTGAAGTATGGCATACATGCAATGTGCAACTGTAACTGCATGCTTCCAGTTGTGGTAGGGCACACGGCGATAATTCTTCTTTACAGACATAGTAAATCGGCATAGCTTTTCAAGTTCAAAGCTAGAAAGAAATCAATTTGGTCAGAGACAAGAAATAAGAATGAGAAGAATAATCAACAGAGGAGAAAAGATACTTTTTGATTTATTCTTCTTGCTAGGACTGATTCTCATTGCAGATGACTCATTGATTACAAGAGTCATTCAAGTTTTGGCAAGGACTGAGGAGTGTGGATACCTGACAATGCTCTTAGTTTAATCTGTAAAGTTCTGGAACATAAGTCAAGCTACCCATCTTAGGCAACACAATTGCATAACCTTCCTTGTTCCCAGAAACCTGAAGCATGGTTTCTTTATATTGTTACCTAATCAACCTGCCAAACTGTGAAACTCTGCACCTAATGGACAGTTTGAAAACATAACTTGTAACCAAAACAAAAAACTAGTACTTCTTTAAGCAAATGACACAGAAGAAATAATCCTAATTAAATGAAAATTTCAGTCAAATGCCAAATGCGTAAGTCGTTTTGAATAAAAGAAGTTGAGATGCTCCATATTGACATTGTGAAAAGAATTTTAATTTTTCGAAGTAAATGTTAATATTTTCTTCCAGTTTGGCAAAATGAACAGAATTAAAACAATAAATCATGTATTTCATACCAGGCTGTCCCACAGGACTGGTGAACCATGTAGACAAAAATGGCAGGCCAGACATCCTCATATGGACTGATATCAAAGTGGTATCTAAGAAGAAAGTTTCAGCTTAGTAAGGACAAACACTTTTTCATTCTTAATAAAATCAAGTGAAAATGACTAGGTAATGCATATCTGACAGTATACACTTCTTTCTGAATATACACAGAAAACTGACTTTACAGACTATATTTTCCAGCAATGTAAGTTAATATATTTCCATTAAGGTCAATGGAACTATATACATAGAATCATAGAATCATTTAGGTTGGAAAAGAGCCTTAAGATCAAGTCCAACCATTAGCCTTTGGCTTTGATTAGTTAATAGAAACATAAATCTTAATTTAAGAATCAATTGCTTAAATAATGTCGAAAAATCTTTTTTCTACAGGGATGATGAGACCTTTACAGGAACCCCTAAAGTATTCCAGACTTTCCTCCCAGGAATTGTAAAGATGGTGTCTCTAATAATATATTTATTGACTTTTTTTCAAGAATTTGTCATTAATTCAGTGAGAATCATTCAATTTTGATAGAGGAAAAAATCAACTTTTACTGAAATGAAGTCCAAACTTCAAAAATCTAACTTTTAATACTGCATTTTTTTATGTTTCATTAGCTGAGAACTTCTCCCCTCTCCTGATATTAAGACATTTAGGCCTAATATCAGGGACCCACTCACCAGAACTGTTTGTCCTTCGATTATTAATTAACCCCTGTACCTACACCTGCTGTGCTGCAAGTCTTCTATTTACTTTCCACTGAACCCAGCTCAACGCTTGCACATATGTGGTATACTGAACAGCACAGCAGGTGCGAGAGAGCTGAAGGTAGCTGAATTGCTTGAAAAATGGTTAAATGTATTCAAATTGATTGAACTAAAGGATGTTAATATAATTTAGAAAGAAACCTGTCATCTTTGCAAGTAAAAGTCATTTTTGCTGAGGAGGTGGGTTATATAATATCATCTAACAAAGCACAAGAAATTGTATTGCAAAGAATAAGCTTCTATTAGGGTGTAATGTAATACCGCAAGCTGCTAATATGCTGGCTTTCAAGCCAATCATTTGATCATGTAATGAACTTTAACTGTAAGCAGCCCCTACTCAGCATACACTTAAACGCTTTTCTTGCTCACAGCTACAATGCTCAGCACCTGACAGGAGTGAGCAAGCTCTGGAGATTAGGTTTACAAAGACAATTTAGATTTTGTGACTCAATATCATAGCGTTTTTACTTTCGGCACGTGGTCACTACAGTAGAATTTACTGTCCTGGGACAGAAACAGTGTCAAAAAAAAATGAGTGTTAGCACTGAATGGAGACTGATAAAATACAGATAGAGGTACATCTTCAGCACACAACAGACCCTTGAGAGCTGAAAATAGCAATTATTTCAGAAAAAGCCTAAGAGGCTGGATGGTAAGTCCTCCTCCAAATTTAGGCCTCAAATCGAAACTCCAGAACCTGAGATTCATAACCCCGAATTATTTTCAGAAGTTGAAAGATCTGTATCCATTTTCTCCTCCAAAAAACAGGCACAAACCACACACACAGCAAAAAACAAAACCAAAAACCTAAACACACCCACCCACCGCCTCAAAACAAAAACACATACAAAACCCATAAATCTCAAGAACAAGGTGAAACTTTTATTCTGAACTGTACAAGGGGATGAGATCATGCATTTGGTATTAGCTACTGATGTTTCAGCTCAGCTTCCTCTCTGGCTCTGAGCTGTTGGTGACTTAGGACTATCAGAAAGCAAGCTCATCTCTACAATCCTTAGATATAAACTAATGCTTAAAGCAACTAGTCTAGCTACCCATGTCTGAGGAAAATGCTACCATTCTGAGTAGGTATTATTCTACATCTTTGATAGATGTGAATTTTATTCACAGGTCATTAAGTATAAATAAGTATAAGAAAGCCAGAGATAAATCCCTATGATTTGGGGATAGTACAGTAAAAAATCCTCCACTAAATCTGGGGGGGGGAGGGGCGGGAAGAAGCAAAAAATAATCTTTTTCACAGACTGATACAAGGTGCAACTGTCACTATATGATAAAAATACTTACAGTTCAATTTCTTTATAAATATGTGGAGGCAGTGTACAGTGCATGAGGTTTTGCCACTCTTCTGCTGTACAAACACTGTGGTAAGATAGCTTCTCCATTGTTACACGGTAAATACACTCTGAATGGCGAATTCTGTGGTACATCTGAAAAAAGGGAAGTCATTTATTAATATAAAATTTTAATAAAGGGAAAAACATTTTTCTCCTGTATTCAAGCACTTTTTAAATACACATCTGCAAAAATGTTAGTGCTTTTGCCTACTCAACTTCACACATTAGAAAAGTGACAGATTATATGAAACTCAGTACTTCTGGAAAACTGGGTTTTCTATCACATTATTCTGAATCTATTCAGTCAGGCAAATGTCTAAGGCTCGGCTGATTTTTCACTGTGTCTGAACTCCCCAAGAAGAAGAATCAAAGTTTCTGAGTTAGAAACTGAGTTCAGTCCCACGCAATACGCTATCGTAAAGAAAAAATGATAACAGGGCACAATTAATATTTTCTGCCACTGCATGAATTCAGATACTAACTGGCAGAAATAACTGCTACCTATGCACAATAAAAAGCACATGGGATGTTTATCATACCTACATTACTATACAATAACTGTGAAAAATATGTGCAGTTAATTATTGAGAGTTTCAGAGAGATATTGCAGACATGCCATGGTTTGTAAAGAAGTGAGGACACAACAATATTACTAGAAAAGATAATCCTCTGGAGCAGTATGTCCTGAGTGGTAACATTCACCACCTAAAAAGTGGGAACTCACACACAATTAATTGATTGCATAGTCCCAAGTTATGTTTATATGAAGGCCTTTCTACCTGTCTTGAGTCATGTGGAACAAGTTTAAGTAACTGTTAGCAAAATGATGTTGTTAAAACAGCTTAATGTAAATCAGCAGGCTTAACTGGCTTTGCATTGTATCTTACCTCCCATGAATATGACAGATTTCTTCTGCATTGCATTTTTATTGCATTTATAGACTTATATAATAATGATCATTAAATTGCTTATTCTTCCTACAGGAATAGTAATTTTTGTGATGATAAAGGCTTTGAAAACAAAAATAGCTATCCACTCTATAAGCATGGATAATTATGAGTATATAGCACAGCATATAAATCTATAAATTGATATATTTGAATATTAAGCATACGGAATCAAGAGAATACAGAACATCTCCATTCCCCAGTTAAATTTCTAAGATGTGATCTGAATTTATTAAAGTAAATAAGAATCATACATTCTAATGGAAAAGACAAACAGATATCATTCACATTTCAGAGCTTGCTCTCAGTTTAGTGACACAAAATTGATGTATCCAGAGTACAATTATTTCAGAAAGCATCAAATTAATCCCTATCATCCTCTTCAAATACAATTATTCAGAAAAGAATTCAATGATTCCTGTTTCCTCATTAATTCAATGAAACAGACTGATGAATCACTTCAATAATCTGAAACATCAAAACCCTTAAGTAGGATTTTAAATCTTCCCATTATAACCAACAGCTTACAAAACTGTAAATAAAACTCACATTAGCACAGTGTAAGGCTAAAGCGCAAAAGACTGCAAACATTTTAAAGTTGTTCTCATCAGTTTTAGAGAAGGCACTTCCACTTATTTTGTTCACCATCTGCACAACACCTATTACACTTCCTCGGCTTACAATAGGCATGCACAGGATATTTCTGGTTGTGTAGCCTGTGTAGAGGTCTACTTCTCTGAAGAGACAGAAAACAGAAAGAAAAGGAAAAAAAAAAGAAAAGTGTTAATATGATTAATTAACATCTAGTCCTTGATTCTCAGAAATGTTGATGTACAATACACTAAATGGTTTTAAAGTGGATGTTACTAGTACCTGCGAGAAGTTCACCTCCAAAGTTTTCAAATATTTCCATCTACTGTGTCATATTTAGGAAGAACTTTCTAATCCTTTAATCTCCATTTGCAAGATAAAGAATTAATACTTCTTTGAATGTGCAGGCAGCTTATTCATAAAAGTAAAGAATACATTCAGGTACTTAGGCATGTTATTTGTTAGTGAACTTTTTTCCTCCCCTGAAACTAATTAGATTGCAGGAAGGCTAATAAAGAAAATCAGCAACAGACTACCTAACTGGGCAAAGTTCTGTAACAGGAAAAATAACTAAAATATTCTTTATTATATTTATATTTGATTAAAATAATACTTCTTATTTGTATCTTAAAAATATCCCCAATGGCTAAAGCATTTAAATAGATAGGTTGTGTCCTCATCAGAGAATCACAGCTCCATGAATACATCCTAATATGAAAATTAAGTACTAAATTTAAGCAAAAGGTTTGGTGAGCTATCTTCCCCTCTTGTGACATTCTACCTGTTAAAGCGTGGATCTGCATAGGCATCGGGGATGTTAAGGACTTCTCCTGTTCTTGCCACTTGACCAGCTATTCCTTTTTCTATAGAAAATCTGTAGAAAATAAAAATGTGTGTTAGCCACAATATGAACTATCTGGAAAACATTTTTCCAGTGGAGTCTGTCTTGGGCACGGTAATGTATATTTGTTCCCAACCAGTGTCATTTTGATGCTTTTAGGAGAAAAATCTTACAAGACAACAACTAGTAGTAAATAATAAAATTAAAAAAGCACATACTAATAGACATTTTCTGAAAACATTTTATGTAACTACATAGTTTAATACAGAAGATGCCATAATATGATCATTTTAGTGACAAAAATTCAATCTTCAATAACCCTGGGGTTTATGCATAATAAACATGACATTTGTACAGAACCTAAGACTTGTGTTTACCTTTACAAGCTATTGCTTTTATCACCACTTTTACATATTCATTGTTTCTTTAAACACATCATAGGTGATATGGAGCTTGTTTCTTCAGGCAAGGGAGCAGGTGGATTTAGTAAAATAAACTTTGGAAAAAGACCAGTGGAAATTTCAAAGCTAAACATTATATGTGTTTGTCATATACACTTCAGAGTAATTAGGTTTTTTTATCTCATGCCATGCAAACACTGCCATGGTACTACCTGCATCCTTTAATCACTACAAGAAAGTTAAACACAATAAATGTATTCTAGAGCTGAGTGAGAAACATCTACAAGTCTGTCTTGTGAGGAAATAATTTTCAATTCTTTGACCTAAAAGAGTTATGATGTACAAGTACAAAAGAATTTGTGGAGAAAAATAAGTAGAACATGTGGAACGCTTTCAAATCTAAATGTACCCAGGTAGTATCCTGCTCCCACTGAAGTTAGTGACAAAGCTGGCAGGATTTCACTCTGCACACGTGATTTTAAGTTAGTTTCTGCTGCTGCTTGTTATGATCACACCAACTTAAGGCTTCTTCCTGATGACTGACTCAGTGTGACTTTCTTACAGATATTTAAGTTGTACTTCTCTTCCAGTATACAGCAAAAGTGAAATGGCTCACAACCTTGCACTCAGAGTCAACATTTCAGTAATTTTCATACAGAAAAGACAGAAAGATATAAGCAAGAAAAACAATTATCAAGAAATCTGAAAGTGTATGTTAAAGCAGGCCACCTTGTTTAATTTACACCACCTCCTTGCTTGTCAGTATGTAAATTGCACCAATTTTGACTCCTTCCATTCTCACTCACACAATGTAGTAAGTGGGAGTAAGTTTGTCTAAAGGAGTCTAAGTGAAAACATTAATCAGATCTCATATTGGCCTAGAACTTTAAAAGTATAAGGAAGAAATGAAAAAAAATCTGAGAAAATACATGCTGAGTATTTTAACAAAATTTTAGTGCAGGATATTTAGTCATACATTTCTTTCTTCTTAAAAAGATGTAGGTTTACAACCTGTGTGTCTTTGAAAATCTGGATCTTATCTATTAAGGATTCATAATTCTGAAAAGTGAAAAATGTTACACTTAATCTTCCATTTTGCCTCTTTCATTTAAAAAGTGCATATGTGTAAAAATTATGTACTTGTGACATGAAGCAGAAACACACCAGTTTTATGCAGAGAATCCTACATAATCATTACAAGCTCATATACATTTTCAAATTCCCCACTTCAAGCATACTTCAGAATAACAATTATTTAAAAGTTTGAAAATATTCTAAATTTACATGAGAAAAAGTAAAACTAAATTATGGCACTTGAAATCTTCAAAACCAATGGCCAGTCCATACTCAATTCTACATATGCCTAATCCATCCATAAGAAGTACAAATTATTGTTTCCTTGCTTTGGATGTGCTTGAATAGCACAAATTTCAATTCCTCTTGAGAACCCTCTTGGGAAAAAAGTCCCATACTGGCAGACCATGGATTAGGTGCACCTTTACCTGCACCTTTACCTACCTCAGAACACCTCTGTTTTTTTCCCAACATGATTTCCAAAAGGACCGCCTCCGGAAGACGGCATTTCCAGGAGTGACGTTATAGCTTCAGAGACGTTGTTTCGATGGCACTGCAATGTCATTCCCAGAAGTACTACCTTCTGGAGGCGGGTCCTGGTGGGAATGATATCACAGTATGACAAGTATTGTCAGGGTACCTGCAGATAGGCACAGAGGCTGGGTAATAAAATGCCTGCACATCCGTAGTTACAATGAAACTGCATTCTTCTGCTGGCCACTCTTACCTTATTTCTTTGGTCTTCTTGAAGACAGGTTTCCCATCATTTTCTTCTCCAATATCAAAAAGATCTGAATACAGTTCCTTATTTTTGTGGTCAACCTGGAAGAGTGCACACCTATCTGCATTCACCAGGTTTTTTGCATATATCTATAGACAAAAAAACAAAACTAGAGTTAACAGTCATGAGTTAGATTATCTTCAGTCATTTATCTGATAAAAACACAAGTCTCTAGAAAAGAAAAGTTTTGAGAAATTATCCAGTATGAAAATCTGTTTGAAGGAGATCCACCTTCACAGCAATCTTTTAGGATACAATTTAAAATGAAATTGTGTCTTTTATTCAATATTTTTCTGTAAACTAGAGTCTTCTCTTTGAGAAATGCAGGAATATCTTTAGAGGCTTGAAAAAAAAGGTTTTCCTATTAGACTGTTTTTCAAGTATAAGGAATGCTCTTCAAAACGGTACCTTTCCTCTCTCTATGTTTTGATATTATTCACGTTTACTGATTTTAAACAGATAGGATATAGCAAGACCTAAGAACATTTTTAGCTTTTTGTCCTTATCTTCAATGAAATATATTGGTATTGACTAGCCAGCAAAGACAGACATAACAGAGGCTACTGTTTGTTCCTAAAAAAGCTAAATGTGCCTGTAATACATAACAATAAACAAATAGGGAAGATTAGATGTGTCACTATGGATTTCCCTATGCAATGATACAATAAATGGCTGTGCCCTCATGATGCTAGGGACAGTTCTTGCACAACAGCTGGGAATGAGGAGTTCTACATGAACTAACCAAAGCCCACAAGGTACCACCCATAGTAGAAAGCACCAGAGTACAGCAATAGACCTTCATGGTCTCTCTCATACTTCAAGCCAGATAGTTGTATCATAGCAAAACTAACTGCCAGCCCGCACCGATTGTCAGAACAGAATTGTGTCCTGGGAACACAGCAGCTCTTCACTGAAATGTTTCTTGGACATATCTTGGACTTTCTGAGAACATGAGGAAAGAGTGAACCAAAGATGAACAAGGATCACTGTGTTAACTTGAGATGTCATATAGTCTGGTTCAAGAACCTGTTCTATTCAATTCAGATACATCTTCTATGTTTCTTATCTGCTCAGAAAGTATAGTAACTGCATGGTAGAGCATGATCTGAGGTGGATCTCACTCAACTTTAAAAAACTCTATATAATAACTACCTAGTCATTCAGCCACAGAAAGAGTCGATGTCTTTATGTGCAATGCATGCAGGTGGCATGTTTTAAGAATTTTCAAGACTTCCATACGAATGTATTAACTCCACCCCCCCTTCTCACTTGTCTTTCAAAAATAAAAACAAAAATGTAAAATATTTCATTGCATATTAATGCAAATAGACAAATGTTATTTGTCAGAAAAAACCTGAGACAATAAATCATTAGTTGGGAGATCCCATGTCATGTAAGCTGTGTAATGGGAACAGCACAGAAACCATCTATATCGACTCTACAAAACTTGGAGGGCCTTCCCGTACTGACAGAATCTGTGGCTGGAAGGATTCTGTTGCTTTCTATTCCATATGCTCCATCAGAGCTCTAGAAAGTCAGGAAGACTGTTAAATATGTCCCACTCAGAGCATTAAGAAGTTTAAAGATCTTGACCACTCACACCACTTATTCCTTTGCTCAAAACACTGTGAATATAAACTGTGCCAGAAAGGACAAGGCATCTAGTATATGTTTCTCTATGCCTATTCTGAAACTTTAACAGATTTCTTTCTATACATTTCTATACATACCTCCTATATCAGATTCTATAAAATTAAACTTTCGTGTTCTAATATATATGACTCAAGAACTTACCTTGGTCACGACTGATGCCTTTCAAAAATAACTGCTTAAACAGTACCAACTGAGAGGAATAGTTAATGGGATGAAAAAATCTTACTTCTCTAAAGTTCTAGCTTAAATCCAGGCCAGCAGCTGAAGGGGACTATTAGTACAAAAGGTATGCTTTGCATTGTCAATAGGGATGCCAGGAACTACCTTTTGGGCAGGTTGCTTGTAACTACTCAAGCATATTGGTAGGAAAATTTGCAAGGCAACTTGAACTTCCGTTTCTCTCCTTGCATCTATATCCAAAACACCCTTAAACCACCAACTTTGATGAGGGATTTTAATGAAAATAAAAATGAAAAGAATGGTAAAATCCCTATACTTCTTTCTTTATTATTACAGGAAGAAATCAAACTTTAAGTGCAATCACCAGAGGGTGAAGCAGTGAGGTGAAATGGAATTCCACTCTTTTCTCAATGTGAGACACAGAATAAGCCACATAATTATAAAATCACGCTCCCATAAAATGGCAATAAATGTGCAAACACATAATTCAATTAATTGGCCCAAGGAACAGCCAACTGCTACAGCTTTCAAAGGAAGCTGAGTATGAAACATCTACACGGGTTAAAATGCAGAATCATGATGCAGCCAAGTGTTGGAAAAGAAGATGAAAGAGTAAGCATATTTTACTGCCAATCGTGTTTTCCACCAGACCTCTATTCATAGGGAAGAACAGGGAAGAATATCAATATTTGTTCTCAATACCATATGTTATACTACACCAGTTCTTTTAAATGCTAAGCTATTTTTAAGCGGTTCATTTAAATTGGAAAAGTCAATGTTCAGAAATGTCTCCTATGTGCAGAATTTTTGACTGTGTACTAACTAGAATAAGACAAATACTGCAGAATATTTTCCATTACTAATTCAAGTTTCTAAATAAAACCACATTAATATTGTTTGCATTCTAAGTTTGTTGTCTTTGAATAGTCTAGATAAGAATATCACTTTGAAGACTGGAGCAAGTATCAGATTACTGCTGCAGAGTAATTTTTTGAATATGCAAATTTAAACAATAGTATCACAGACCTGATTAAGATTGACATTCAGAAAAACGAACTGCAGTATGCAATGAATTTGCCTGAAGCTAAAAAGCATCATTCATATATCATGCATTCAAAATGTGCTACAAACAAGCAGTCCGTATGTATCTGTAAACACTATTCAGGAAATAATTATTAATTCAAAATTGATTCATAAAATTATAATCTGTTTCTCAAAGGTACTTTTAATTAATTGATTAGTTATTTCAATGGACTTGGCGTTATTCATTTTTATAAAACTTCGACTGACTCTGACACTCTAGTTATGGGTGTAAATACTTTTGCAAAGCAAAAGGGATGTCATGTTTTGCATGTCTCATTCAGAAACTGGAACAAATGTTTGACCTCTAGTCCTTCCTACAGACAATAACTTTTGCAGGAGTGTTTTTCAGCATGTAGCAAAATGAATTTGGGAAAAAGGAAGCAATAGAAGGTGAAATAAAAAGAAAACCAGAAGACTTTCTGTTACAATTTTCAAACCTTCTCTAAAACACAATAGTAACTATTTAGTTCAGATACAGTCATGTTTCATTACTTATGAAAGCTGTGAAATGAAGCTGTTGAGACAATGAAAAATCAAACTGACCTTCATTACCTTTTTCCATATAGACACGTTAGTACTGTTTGTGTCACGTGTCCATTAGAAACAGCTCATATATGTCAAGGATGTAATGTCTTATTCCAAGAAAAGGAGAATTAAGGACTTTAATAACTAATTAACTTAGAAGTGAAAAAGACAACTTACCATTATATGTTCAAGTAGAGAATCTATTGCAACTATATTATCAAAATACGTTCTGCAGAGAAAGAGAAGTCAGTTAACATTGGCATTTAGTCAAACACTTCTCAAATGGCTGTCATAGGCTCTTGTTTCACAACCACTTAACAGTGGATCCCAAATAGGCAAGGACAAACCTCTGCACCTTGAAAATCACTGACAGGCTTGCTATAGAAGAAGGGAATTGAGAAATGGTCCTAGCTCTGTTCCTTTAAGCCATTATTATACAATGACAGAATTGTAGAATATTCTCTATAATATGTAGAATTTTCTCTGTAGAAAAGGAAAAGACTACCAAACATTGCCTAACAAAGATTGAACAGGCCCCTGCTGAGCAGCACCAAGAATGTATCAAAACGCTTTGGCACTATTTACACACTGAATATTTTAAAAGAAGAAGTAAAAAGAAAAAGAAAATCAATTCAAAAGTTTTAAAAAAATATAATTTCTTCTATTGCTGATATATATTATCTACATGTTTTCAAAATATCTCATTAGGTTCATGCATAGAGTACTACGTACTGAGAGCTAATGAACTCTTACTGTAGCTAAGTTCTTGTCATATTATCCAACTCTTAATGCTATTTAAAAGGCAAACAATTTATAACGCTCTTAATGAGTCTTCTCTAACAACCCAGGTGTAGCATATTGAAGTTTCAGAAAAAGAGTGATCTTATGACGTAAAAAAAAAAAAAAAGTATCTCAGTTTCACAGCAAAGTAGTAACTGTCCAAGGACAGTTAAGAGCATTGAAAGATAAAGGTCAAACTTATTAGTAAAATAAGTCTAAACCTTTCACATGTCAAGTCTTAATAACACCGGGACTACAATGTTCCCAGCAGAGGGAAAGACATTGTCCCATGGCCTCGAACATATATACAGCTCAGTTCTGTTTGGGTCTAGTGGAAATTAAATATATAGTACGCTAGTCTTACACTGTCAGGGACATGAAGAGGTAGAGCACTGCATATTATGCCCTTTTTAAAATGTTACAGAAGATGTCCCAGTGACATTGCATGCTAACAATTTCCTCACTGAATTGGAAACCCTCTTTTCATGTAAGAAAAGGTACAGACCATTTCCAAGAGGAAACTAATTATTTTCTTGCTAGTGCAAGTCTTTACCTACATGAAGTTCATGAAGTTGTTATTAAATGATATGCCAATTTTGTGGTTCAAAACATAGGGTTTCCTTTTTGTTAAAACTAAACAATTCTAGGAATTGATAATGCTGTATGAGAGGTATTTTCTTATAGAAACACATATTAAATATTTGCAGTAGGTATTGTAATATTTATCTTAATTAAAACAATTGCAAAGTTCTTTAAAATACTCTCAGCACTACATACCAAGAGTAAATTGATAGCCCATAAATTTGGGTAGATTAATCCAGAGTTCTATGATAAATTAGCTCAGTACAGATGTTAGCAGCATAAAAGCACCCTGGAAAGGAACATAATGGTGCAAGACACTGCAGTAAATGGGTAGCTCTGGCAAGGGAATGATGAGTGCCCTTTAGGAGACACACTCTGAGCCTAAACTGAAATAAAAGGAAAAAAAGCCATCCCTGAGGAAAAAAGCTAGGATAAACATCTGGATATAACCAGCTTGTCCTCCTTGGAAGGGGGTAGACTCCTCCCTGCGGTGTATTACTCCCCATTCCAGCCAAGTGGACTTGGCTGCCTGAATTCCTGAGGAATGGCATAGAAATCTTGGACGTCCTGTAATCTCATCACTTTGAGAATTGTTCATCAAGACCCAAGAAGTGTTTTTAACAGCAAAAATACTAGACATCTCATTTTTCCACAGTATTATCAGTCCTTTGTGATGCATTTAGAAATTCTTCAACCAACTAGTTTGATAAAATGCTGTTAAGCACCCGAGACTGTTACTTACCAAAAATACAACTCTGGTCTGTCTTTTAATTTATTGCCTATCTCTACTATTTAAAGATGCTAATGGCAGCAAAAAACCAAAAGGGATGAAGGAAGAGCAGATCATCCAAAACAGTAAACTGACTTTGAAAGTTTAAGCCCAAACTTTCATACTCTTACTGTGTTTTCAATTTAATCTTGCATTTATTGTGACAAGAAATTAAAACATACTAAATGCAGTTATAGTTTTTGAAAAAGAAAAGAGATCCTCCAGAAACTGCAGGGTAAGAACAATCATGTGGCATCCCTGATTCTTCAACGATATATCCCTGAAATGCATATACTCATGTATGTGTGTGTGTCTAAAAAGGGGAGGAAAGATGAAACAAGCTAACTTTTCATAAAGTCCTTTCAAACCTTCTAGAATTGGTCATGAAAAGAGATGGCAAGCTTCTTTGTCACTTGTCAGAAAAGGGCCATGTTTAACTCTGGCAGAAGAGGGGAAGGAAAAAGGGCAAAAAAACCCCCATGCAAAAGTCCACAAGAGTAAACGAATTCTGCAAGGTATAACTGGATGTTACACTTTCTTCTGCGCTACCAACAAAAAAAAAAGTTTAATGGGCATACACCATTGTCACAAACATTATTAGTTCTTGTCCCTGTGCTGAAGTTTTCCCACCCTCCAACGTGTGCCATTGCACCTGGTTGCGAGGTACACAGGAAGATTGGAAGAGCCATGTTAGAAAAGCTCATCAAAATAAATTGATGAGGTTTATAAAGCAAATCACACTTACTTTGATACATCAAGCAAGAAGTCATTCAGTTCAGTCTGCTTGGCAAGACCTCGGCACACCTGGAAGCACAAATCATGTTGTCATTTGCTCCAGAACACTGAAGTCACAGAGTCTACCAATTTAATTTGAATTAAAAAAATACCACTACTAGTATATACATATGTTACAGCACTGTATAAAATTCAAAGCTGGATTTGTGTGCTGGGCTTAAATCTTAGATGCTGAAGTTAAAACACAAATTTAAGTAACATCTTTCTTAAGACTTTGAAAGATGTTGGTTGTTATACTTGTTCATGCTGCCTCAAAGGCTGCCACTGAATGTGGTTATAGAATCACATTAACAACACCTCCTAATCCACACCCTCAGCTATCCTGAGAATGTAAAATATTTTGTTTTCTTCCTTATAAACACTTTTACCACCTTTTTTCCAGGTTGCAAAGTAGCATGTAGACACAACTGAAGACTGACATGAGGCAAGTAAGCTAAGTAGCAGATGATATATGATCAACTTTGGGAGAAATGAACATGAATATGAACACAAAAGATAGTATGCATACTATAATTTAGAAGCAAAGTGTCAGATGAAGCAAAGCTTTGAACTGTATTTTTACTTCACCTAATTGCATACTCTGTATCTAAAGTACAATTGTACACCTGTATGTTACTAGAGCAAGTACTGAGGTCAAAAAAAGAAAAACAAGCCTCTATTCTTTGTATCATTTACACAACAAAATATCACTCAGAACTAGTAGTTACTTTCATCTATGCAATGCAAACAGACATAAATATGCGAAATATGACAAACTACATCCACAAGACTCTTGTATATAATTATGTAACTAGGTACAACTGCTTGATATACACTACTTCCTAAAAACCAGCGTGAGTCTGGTAGGGGTAGGTATAGCCCAATGCCAGATCAAAACTCTTGCATTCTTCTCATGCAAAAACTTGGGAAGGGTAAGCCTTCTGCTTAGCAGAAGGGAGAGAAATTAAAATGACCAACAGACAGGCTTAAACTAAACTTTCCATGTTTTGTTTTGTTACCTGTGAAACAATTCTCAGTGAAGGAGGGAGTCATTGTTACAAAGTAAAGCTACAACCACATGCAATTGCAATTCTACTAGTGTACAATAGTCTATGCTAGCTATTTCTGCCTAAATATGCCAGGGTGAATGACCATCCTAACAAAGTCAATGACTTCCAGCACCAAGGTGTCAAATAGTCTAGAAAATAAAAGCAAGAAGCGTTGTGCAAGTCTTCTGACAATGATCTGGATGAGAGGATTGAGTGCACCCTCATTAAGTTTGCAGATGACACCAAGTTGGGCAGGAGTGTTGATCTGATTGAGCTAAGGTCAACTGTATGAGGTTCAACAAGGCTGAGTGCCGGGTCCTGCACTTGTGTCACAACAACCCCATGGAGCGCTACAGGCTTGGGGCAGAGTGGCTGGAAAGCCGTCTGATGGAAAAGGACCTGGTGGTGTTGGTCCTCAGCCAGGTGAATGTGAGCCAGCAGTGTGCCCAGGTGGCCAAGAAGGCCAACAGCATCCTGGATTGTGTAAAAATAGTGTGTCCAGCAGGACCAGGTAAATGATCGTTCCCCTGCGCTCGGCATTGGTGAGGCCTCACCTCAAATACTGTGTTCAGTTTTAGGCCCCTCACTACAAGAAAGACATTGAGGTGCTGCAGCACGTCCAGAGAAGGGCAACAAAGCTGGTGAAGGGTCTAGAGCACAAGTCTTATGAGGAGCGGCTGAGGGAACTGGTTTTGTTTAGTCTGGAGAAAAGGAGACAGGAGGGAAACCTTATCACTCTCTATAGCTGCCTGAGAGGAGGTTGTAGCGAGGTGGGCATCGGTCTCTTTTCCCAAGTAACAGGTGATAGGACAAGAGGAAATGGCCTCAAGTTGTGCTGGGGAGGTTTAAATTGGATATTAGGAAAACTTTCTTCACTGAAGGGTTCTCAAAGCATTGGAACAGGCTGCCCAGTGAAGTGGTTGAGTCACCATTCCTGGAGGTATTTAAAAGACGTGTAGATGTGGTGCTTAGGCACATGGTTTAGTGGCGAACTCAGCAGTGCTAAATTAACAGTTGGACTTGATCTTACAGGTCTTTTCCAACCTAAACAATTCTATGATTCTAAGTGTATGAAAGACACCTTGGAAAAAAGAATGTCATGAACTTCCTCCTGTGAGTTGACATAAGAATATATTTTAGCATCTTCTGTGAGCTATGTGAATATGTTTAGCTTCAGTGTTACCATCTTCTATTAGCTGAAGTAACAAAACCTATTAGCAAAGCTGCTGGGGTTTGCTAGAGCAGCTTGCACCACATGGAGCTTCATTAGGCACTCAACTAGGGACAGCATGAAGCATCCTTAGTGAGAGTAGTTACAGGACCATGAAGCAGCTAGCAAGGATGGCTTAAAGTAGGCTTAGCCAGCAACACCTAATAGTCTCAAACTGAACACCAAACTAGGAGGAAAGCAAACAGTTGGCCTAACTGTTGCCTTCTTGCAAGAAAAAAAACTTGAAAAGTTATTATAATTCTGCTTTAACAATTATTTATCTACTTTGTTAAAGTTTCTTTTTCCTTTAGGAAAAATACCGTTAAGTTACTTGATCCACAGTTGCAAGTGAGGAAAACTAGCTCAATGAACACCAAAATGTTAATGTATTTTTCCCAGGTTCAGGGAAGGGGCTTGAATCAATGTTTTTGTAGTGACCTCCACTTAAATTGGATCATAATCCATGTTCCTACTAATCAAGTTGTGGAAGAGTTACACAATGAAAAAATGAAAAACCACCCACACTTACTTGTACTTGATGTATTGCTACTGAAGCCCATGCAAGATTTGCTGTTGCAACCTGAAACAAAAGAGAAGAAACTAACTCTGAAGAAACCTTGAAAAGTGCACATCAGTTACATGATTGCTTTCTCTATCTTGCTGCTAAGCTGCTGTTTTAGACAAGTAGGCAGTAACAATTTGTGAGAAGACAGTTATTTTGTGAAAGCCTCAGTATACTTGTGAGTGTTTCAATTTTAGTGAGGTACATTCAGTCAGAAGAGAATGATCCCCATTTTTGTATCAAAAAAATGCTTACCAATGCTCTTCAGAAGTGGTATTGGGAACCCATTAGGTCAGAAATACAACATCAAAACAAACATCCCATAGGCCAAGGGCTTTGAAAATTACATTATGTACATTGTTGAAAGGCATCTGCCACAGAAACAAAATATCCCATAACTTCTTTCTGGGGCTGTATCACTTCAGCCACAGCTATTTCCAGCTGTAAACAGGCACTGTTTCTTTGACTACCATTTTGGTGGCAGAAGAACCAGACCTGATCCCTCAGATCAAGACTAGTGTTTTAACTATGACAGTTTCCAGGCAACATTTCAAACAAATGTCATGTAAATTGTAGTTGACTAAGATGTGCTACCATGCATAATCTCCTGTCCTTGAAACACAGAAGCTTTATAGGAACACAGAGGACAGAAGTACAAAAGGTCTGCTGCTGCACACACTCCTACATACACTCCTAAGGTACTTTTTACAAATTGTTTTTTAGGTGTGTTTTTTTTTTTGTTTTGTTTTTTTTTTTTTTTTTTTTTCACAGAACACATTGTACACATTTTATAAAAACTGCTATGGTATCCAAAGGCTTTCTGAAACCTGAAAATGAAAAGAATGCTTTAGAACACTCAGAAAGTGACCTTAAAATATTTTTAATTTATTAACAAAGTACTTTTATTTAGCAGCCAGTCTTTTCCAAGTAGAAGATTCATGAACTTCAGCTACAGAGGTATTTCATATAACATAAAAGATTAATATTTGCACAGAACAATGCATGCCTGAGACCTATCTGAATTGTAGATCGATTAATGTAATAGGGCAATTAAAAAAAAAAGCGAATATGTTACATGTAAGAAGCAGAATTAATGAAGTCTGGTTTTGTATGAATGCCTGTTCTTTGCTCTGCAAGCAGGGACACTGGCACCACCATACTAATACAGCCCCCTACCATGAACTCTACATACTGGTGAAAAAATACCAGGTACGACACTGAGGCTGAAGTGACATTGACTGCCCAACTAATATACGTGTATGAGCATCACATGCATGCTAGGCTACTTAGGTTAGTGATAAACAGACTATATAATTGACAAAAATTGCTGATTTTTCCTTCCTTGGAAGGGTGAGTTTTAATATCTCTTGTCTGCACATTTTCTTTTATTTTCACAAGAATAATTCCTGTTCAGTACAGCTAAACTGCTTCATGGTGCATCTTGTACCACTATCAAGACAACAGACCTGGCTAGAACTCACCCCATTTTGTCCTAATCTCTGTGTTCAGGTTCCCTTCCCTAGGGAAGGGTACAGTAAGAAATGAATGGTACATTCATCTCAATGTGAGAGCCATCTTAAAGATTAGATGGGACATAACAAGGATCCTCAGCCAGACATGAGATCTAAGATGCACTTCTAACACCTTTAATACATCAACACCCTTTGAGACATCTGCTCCATTTTCAAATTTGTTTGTACTTGGCTAACAATTCATAACTTTGGCTTGACAAACAGACATATACGGACAATGTAGCTACACAGGCCTTATATACAGTAAACCATGCAATTTAGAGAACAGTCATGGAAATGGCAAGATGGTTATGAATGAGAATATCTGGATTGGGAAGCGTCAGAAGGAAAAAAAAAATCAGAAGAGAGCTTTACGAACGGCAGCTAGATTAGCTGGTCATCCAGGTACCAGCATAAACTCACCTCTTGGTGACTAAGGTGGAAGGCTTCTTTGCCCCAGTGACGGTAAAGCTCCAGGATACCAATCAGATCACCAATTGCAGTGACAATTGGCAAACACAGAACAGATTGGATACGAGTCCCTGATTCCAGTCCAGTACCTTTCGGAAATCGCTCATCCTAGAAAATGTAAACATAGTCTGATAAAACGTAAATATCATAACATTAACATAAAAGCAACATTATATGAATGCAACATTAACTGACTTTTCCTCCTTCTCCTGGCTGATCAAACATTCAGGAACATGATGAAATTCACTAAAACTCATATCTCTCAGCATAATTTACACGCAGTATTAAGACATTGACTAAAAATATGCAATAAAAAAAAGCCTCAGCATTGATTTTTATATACACGTAACTTTATTGATGTAAAGTCAGAATTAGCTGTGCTATCAGACACAGCTTTGGGTTTGTTTTTACAATATCTCACAGGCAGCAAAACCAGCACTTAATTGCTAATGCCAGTCCAGTTTAAGTAAAAACCCAAACAAACAACACTACCTCACTACATCCTTCCACCCCGCCAAAAAAACTCCCAAGCATTTGTAATCATGAAGTGGACTGCTCACATTTCAGTGTTACCAAGCAGACAGCAATGCTTGCATGAGAACAAAATTTGAAACCTGAAGCTAAGGCTTTAGGTTATACAGAATTATAATCCTCAACCAACTCCTGAGGAGGAAATGTGTTCACAAAAAAATTATTCATGACAGTAAGAATCTTCCTCGTTCTCTTGCTTATGCATCCTGAATGAACCAGTGCAAAAGTTATAGGAACAAATGTTAAAATAATCCTACCATCTACTCTAAAATGCCCAAATTCATAAATTTTAATTTACATAGGCAATGTCCAAAACTTTATAGCTTCAGTTCCCCATGTAGAAAAACTCACAAAGACCCGAGAAACCACCTGGATGTTACAGTTAGTAAGGCAGTAACTAGCAGATATGAAGTGTGTGAGACCCCCTTTGTTGTGCATCAGTCCTTCAGTACTTAATTCGTCCTAGATGCTCTCCGCAGGTTATGCTTAGGCAAGACAGACTCTCCTTCAAGGCTGATCAAAGTCTCCCCTTTCTCAAAGAAAACAGCAAGCAATCTCTACCTTAATTACTAAGATGACAATCAATCTGAAAAAATGACAGACAGGAGAGAGTGGGAAGCACTTTCCAACATGAGTCTCCTGCTTTCACCTTTTAATTCTGCACTCCCCAAAAAAAGGGCTGGCAAGTCTATCTGCAAGAACTTCCCTTTTGCTGTTCAAATGATCCTAAAATCACATGAAGGCAAACCATGACACCAAAATAAATCTCCCTCTTGGGTCAATAATCCATTGAAACTGTAAACCAACAAAAAAGTTCAAAACTCCTCCCCACTGCCCATTATCATCCTCTTCCTCCCCAATTTTATTCTGAATGTAAAATCAAAACATACAACCCCCATATACAAGGATATCATATTAATTAGAAATTGCCAGTAACAATTTAAGCCCTATATATGACTGAAAAAACCTAACAACTTATAAAATCTTTATAGACAAGGTTGTATAGAAAACACTGACTGTTACTACAGTGAAAGCAGCTTCTGCTTTTTGTTTTTGTGGTTCTGATTATATGTACTCACAATAGGCATTTGGTATTTTGTTTATAGCTGGGGTTTGCCTAAAAAAAGGTCATACATTTTTTAACAAATGTTTTTTAAACTAGAGACAGCAATGTCCAATTTTGGCCACAGTATCTAAAGATTGTTATTCTGGACAGAACTTAAAAGGATAGAAAAGACTGAAGAGGGAAGAGAATTTAAACTTCCTTGGTGTTCTCATAACCAGCTGATCTTAAATTGTTCTTATAAAGTACAGTTTAGATACCAGTTTCATAGAATTGCATAGATGAGACTAGAGGATGAAGCTTTTAAAAAAAAATTTAAAAAGAGACATAGAGAGTGACAAGAATTATTAGACTATCACCTTAGGATTTCCTGAATCCTTTTACAGACAAAGGCTTGAATTTTTGTATCAGTTACATTAGTGGCCTTTCACATAGGTCTACTGATATAAGTATTGTAGCTTTACATTAGTGCAAGCAGAGATCAAAATCCTATCTAATAATCAGAATTCTGATTGACATTCTTGGCAGTGTGATCTCTGCATTATAATTTAATCAAACTTTGATTGACTATATGGAAGTCTTCTTGTTTGGTATTAGCACATCAAGTATTTCAACACCAGGAGGACAGGAGTTTAGACTGATAGGTTTTTTTCTCTCCAAGTGACTATGATACCATTATTTCCCTTATCTGACAACAACAACAAAAGTTAATCTTTAAACTTAAAAATAAATAAGATATTCTGAAGTTATTACATCAAGCTAATCCAAACTCAAATTTATTTTCTTGGTAGCAAGACATATGTAAATTCTACCATTATACATTCAGCTCACTAAACATTTCAGCATCAAAATATTCATTCTAAGAACATGCTGTAATCATCTAATTAAAAAGAGAAATCTTTTTACCCCCAGAATATCTTCTACTAACAACGTTTTTCTGGATCTGGCTACATAAGCAGATACTGTAGTGCCATGTGCAATGGGCCCTGCAGGAATGAGCCGTGGTTGTCCTTCTTTAGCTCCTGGTGGTGTAAATACACACAGACTCTAGTTAGAAGGAAAAAAAGAAAAAAAAAAAAAAAAAAAGGTTGCAATTAGAAAGCACGGTTACTTTTACAGAGTTACTGTGCTACCTACATAGTGTAAAGGATTGAATAATATAAATAATGTAGAGAAACACAGCTTTTGACAATGAAAAGTAGTTGGATAAATGGTTAATTGTTTTGAAATCTTAGGAAATCCTGCTCTAAAGCCATCATTATGAGAGTGGATAACTATTCTGGAGACATCAGCCTTTGCCTATATCAGTGTTGTATTGCATTTACCTTGAATGTTTATGTGTCTCCTAACACTAGAGAATCACAGAGACTCTCAAAATTTTAAAGCATTATCACTGTCACGTCCTATTCAGCATAGCTGAGCTATTATCCTTTAAACAGAAAGGGAGTTTAGGCACATGAAGAATAAATGATATGTCAAAGGTTACACAAAGTGTTAGAACGTCAGAGATCAAATCTGTATTTCCAACTCTTCAGCTTTATGTCCTATTCTCTTGAGCCACCCCTCCTTATACACTCTTAATATTAACACAATTAAAGCACCACCTCAGATACCAAATTTTCTATTGGAAAATTGTGTTTTCTTATTTACTATATTCAATGATTCAATTGATTTCACTGATAAATTTGTAAGACCTGGCATATATAGAGAAAGCTCCTGTAGTAAGTAAGTCTACTGTTAAATAGCTATATGATGTTAAATTATGAACTTAAAGCATATGAACTAAAATGAAATATTTTAAGCAAAGATCCTTGCTAGGCAAATAGAATTATTTTTGGGTGTTTTTGTGGGTTGTTTTTTTTTTTTTTTTTTTTTAATTTACATATATAATATCACAGATAGATGATAGAGCCAGCACACAATGTATTACTAACATTCCTGGTAAGTGCCACTCCTTTGTCCAGATTAATTTTACTGTCAGACTTTGCTTTCATTAGAGCTGTTACAAGGGTCAATTGCTGAAGATTCTACAGTATCAATGGTTATGATAAGTAATATTAATTACATCTACTCCATCTCCTATGTTTATCATTCACAAAGGTTTCTATAATGTAGACAAAGGCAGGTGCACATGTACTCCAGACTCCAGTAGCTCAGAATGCAGTGTTGCATTGAAAGACTGAATGAAGACCTTCTAGGTTATTCAAATAAGATTTCAGCTTAGGCTTAGCAGTAAGCAGGAAGATTCGCACTGGAATTGTTATTATTTAAGTATTATGCCATTATATGCATACCTAATTCCCTGAAGAAAAAAAAAAAAAAAAAAAAAAAAAAAAACCAAACCAACAGAAAATCTAAAAAATAAAACAATCTATAGGCCTGATATTCACTTAAAGAAATTAAGTGAAATCTAGGCACTATGAAATCAGTGGCATTTTTCTTATTTTTCTCTCCTAGACCTGTAAGGTCAGTGTCACTATAGCACCTGATTACCTCACAATCTCTAACTATGCATTACAACTGCCCTGTAAGCTGGGTGGTGACTCTATCCTCATTTTATAGATGGAAACTACAATAAAAATTTTATATTAATACAGTTATTTTAGTTGAGGCTCTAATTACCATTTGAATGCAAACTTCACAGCTCACCACATAGTCTACAGAATGCCTTGTACTATGGCTTAGAGCTAGAGCTAGCCAAATGGATCACAAGACAAAGAAGACTCAAGTGTGAAAGAAAGGAAACAGTCTTCAGAGATTGATAGTTACCAATCTTGGCCCTATGAGACCAGGTAAATTACTAAACAGGGGCTGTTTTCTAGCACAGAATATTAAAGGTACAATTTGTGCCGGGCTGGGCAAGCCGAGGACGCAGGCCAAGGAGGAAGAACACAGCCGACTCAGTATGAGTGATAAAGTGTGCTTCAATTTATTGATTTTCATTACAGCCTTTTATAATCCTTCTGCTTAATTATGCCTACTAGGCAATCATTGATTGGATAAAATACAAGCAAGCCATGCCAGGGCTTGTTGGCCCAAGCCCTGGGAAAGACCCAGATAAATTAGTTTAGGAGAAACAAAGAATGCTCATTTCTCCATCCTCCCCTGATTAAAGAAGAACAAGGAATGCTTCCCAACCTTGACGAGATAGAGAATGTTTCATCTCAAAACCTTAGTCAGTACTTTCCCACGGGATTCACTCTTGCTGTTGTTCACTCTTGCTGACTGAGGCCTACTCATGCTAACTTAAAAGAGACTCTCGTTGCAAAGAGGATCTCTAGATCCATGTCCCTTTTCCCTTAGCCATTATCCAACAAATTTGCATGTGAAGATTCAGGATCTACTGTCAGCTGTAGAAAATGAAGTGATGATATGAGATGCAGACTCTCATAATTTCTTTATTCTGCAAACATACAAGGCACATTATAAAACATACTAAATAATTCAAAAAAGAACACACTGAAATGTTCAGAAACTAAGGAGATGCAATATAATGCCCCATATGTAGGTACTCCTGCAGTGATAAAGGTACTTTAGCTGTAATGGATTAACAGCATTTCGAAAGGAGAAAGTTGGACTGTATGCTGAGAGAAAATAATTGGTCAAAGAGAAATATAGAATTCATAACCAAAACAAGAGTGAAGTATATCCAAGAAGAATCGGTAGTCCAATGGTTAGGGCATTTAGTGAGTTTAAAAGAAAAACACTCTAGATTCTGATAAAACCAGTAACTGAGTATTTGTCTTGTTAAGCATAAAGTCAGGCAGTCTCAAAAAGTTTAGCAACACAAGGAAGTGAGTTTTCCATCCATTTATTCATTTGCTAGTATTTTGATACAGATGAGAATTAAACTACCTTAAAAGAGAAAATAGAGCTGCTGCATAGCTCTGACAAGTCATTTCAGCATATTTATTTCATGCGTCTCATGCAGATAGAAGGGAAGATACTGCTTCCATGGAGTAGCTCTCCTGAACATGCACGGCATTTACTCCATTTTGATGTCTTGTATTATGGTAAAAGTGTATGAAAACTTGAAATTTCCTGTTTATTCTGATCCCAAACCTCAACCTTATTCTTCAAACCCATGTACACTCACAGCTTCTTTAAAGAGCGGCCTTTATCAGTGTAAGACACTGGAAAAATCAGAATGTTTGTTTTCCATTTGAATTACAAGAATGTCCTACACAGAAAAAGCAACACAAAGACAAAACTCAAACAGCAAAAACCATTACATCAGTACATGGAACATGCCAGAACACGCCTGCTCAATTTACCAAAACAAAGAGCTCCATTTATTCTTTTTCTTATAAACTAATAAAGATACTTATAATTCTTAAATGAAAACTTAGTTTCACGATTACTTGCCTTCATAAGCTTTAGTTTCATGTTTTTAGATGAACTTATATAGAATGAAAAAGAACATTTTACTTAACAGATACAAGAAAAAGCATCCCATGATCTGAGAAAAAGTACATGATTGTAATAAAACTGAAGAAATCACAGTTCAAGAAATTGGTGTTCTGATATAAAATATTTTTTTAAAAAAAAATCAAAGAAGCTAGTAAAAGGTTTAGAATATAGAAGGCATAGAAATACTGAAAATACATATCTTCACAAATGTTTGACCCACTACACTATATGCATATAGGAAAAAGATTTACTATTAAAAAAAGTACTTTTATAGTAGCAACAATAACACTATAATGAGTTCAATACTGAAAAAGTGCTTCATATTGCAGGGTATGGCAAAATGTAGGAGATGAAACAGAATGTTTAAAGTCTGATTTATATAGTCTAAGTAGTGGAATGAGTCAAATTAAATTAAAAGGACACTGGAGACCAAATTTGGTCTTTCTAAAGATTAACACTTTTATTCACTCTGTTCTTCTTACTTTTTCTTAAGACATATTTGGTTCTTTATGCCAAGATAGCAATGTGCGACACTTAGCAAAGTAACTGTGTATTTAAATTACATGTATAAAATGTGCTTTTCCATACTGGTCTCCTGAGTCATGACCATAACTAAATATAAAACAACGTACAAATCCTTTTCTTCTCAGAAACTGCTTCTCAAAACAAAATACAAGGAAAAAAGACAAAACAAAATGGCCACTTTCACCAGAAAACAACTCACTTCTACACACAAATATTTCTCTCCAGAAAAGGCCTTCACTGGATCTTCAACTGTCAAAAAACTGTGTTGACACCATGAAATATTGCTAACAAAAGTTGCTTTTGCCTGCACAGCTTTTCCTGTGTCCTTGTGTAAGTATCAGTTCGGCTGGTAAACCCCTCTGTTGCTACCACCATGAAATACTGCTGCACATAAGCAACCTACATTGGAAAAAGCTCATGGACATTATCTTACTTCCAGTGTTAAAGTGAGTTTTGCAGAAGAAATCCCATTCTGCTTCTTACAGGAAACTACAAACCCCCACTGCTAAGGGGTTAGTGATCAAAAAACTCTTCAAACTACCCAGTAGATTCTAAATTTGACACTTTTCCTCCTGACTCTCTACAGGTAAAAAAGCATTACTGTGCAAGGACAGACCTCCACTTAGACCTCAAATAATGACCTTCGATCTCCAAGGCCATGGAACAATTGATAATCTTATCCTGACCATGTAGCACTACTAAAAAGAAAGGCAAATTTTTTCAATAACCCTATATAAGCTGCAATTAGTCCATAAGCTTCTACCATTCCACATTGACTTTATACATACACCTAATAAAGTTTCATGACTGTTGATACATTCCATATATGATCAATTTAAATCTGAATGAGTTTAGACATTTATTTACTATTAAGGATGTGGAAATTTCTTGGAGCTTTTGAATTCTAGAAGCCATCAGTGGCAAGGTCAGCCAAACAAAATGCACTAAGAACAAAAAGCTGTGCTCTGCTCTACTACAGCTTGTTATTGAAATAATCTTTGAGACATATCACAGACACAAATTTAAGGGAATCTCTTTAATGACCACTACCTAAAACCACCATGTTTTTCACATTACCTATCTAGCTCACATTTCCTGTTTTCCCTTTAGCT